ACCCACCAGGAGATACATTTTCCCTTCTCTGTATGTGGCTGATGGAATGGGAGGAGGGATGCTGCCTGGAATTAGATGCTGGGATGTCTACTTTCTAAACCAGTGGCGATTAGAGAGGTACCATTCCTGGAAGATAAAACAGCTTCATCAGCTGGTAGAGGTATGCTGCCCTATGTCCACCCAGGTTCACCCCCTGAACATCCTCTCAGCCCTTATAAGGTCAAATCACAGGTCGGCCGAGAGCGAAAGTGAATCTGTTTTGCAGCATTGAGACGAACTGAGGTATTCGTGGCTGGGAAAAGCATCAAGTATGTAGAAGACATCCTCCAGTGTTTGTTTTCTCTAATTCCCTGTATGCATCCTGGAATTCTGAACTGGTCGCTGGCGTTGCGTAAAAATACAGACTTGGGGCTATATTGTTTTTCCAGCTCAGTCTTTGGTAAATACATCAGGAAAGCCTGACAAAATTTGTGTTTTCAGTTATAAGCATAAACAACCCTCCATTTCTTTTGGCCCTCCTCCTGAAATATGTGCCGATCCTTCCAAGGTTTTGCTATATCTGTGGGTGTTCTGGGCTTCTTCATTTTGTAATATCTATTTTTGTCCAGTGTTTGTGTTCTCTTATGCACCATTTGTGTGTTGTGTTCAATGTGTTCCAGAACTTCTGGCACTGGCCTGTGTGTGTGTGTGTGTGTTCTGTTCTGTGTGTTCCAGAACTTCTGGCCCTGGCCTGTGTGTGTGTGTTCTGTTCTGTGTGTTCCAGAACTTCTGGCCCTGGCCTGTGTGTGTGTGTTGTGTTCAATGTGTTCCAGAACTTCTGGCCCTGGCCTGTGTGTGTGTGTTCTGTTCTGTGTGTTCCAAAACTTCTGGCCCTGGCTTGTGTGTGTGTGTGTTCTGTTCTGTGTGTTCCAGAACTTCTGGCCCTGGCCTGTGTGTGTTTGTTCTGTTCTGTGTGTTCCAGAATTTCTGGCACTGGCCTGTGTGTGTGTGTTCTGTTCTGTGTGTTCCAGAACTTCTGGCCCTGGCCTGTGTGTGTGTGTTGTGTTCTGTGTGTTCCAGAACTTCTGGCCCTGGCCTGTGTGTGTGTGTTGTGTTCTGTGTGTTCCAGAACTTCTGGCCCTGGCCTGTGTGTGTGTGTTGTGTTCTGTGTGTTCCAGAACTTCTGGCCCTGGCCTGTGTGTGTGTGTTCTGTTCTGTGTGTTCCAAAACTTCTGGCCCTGGCTTGTGTGTGTGTGTGTTCTGTTCTGTGTGTTCCAGAACTTCTGGCCCTGGCCTGTGTGTGTGTGTTCTGTTCTGTGTGTTCCAAAACTTCTGGCCCTGTCTTGTGTGTGTGTGTGTGTTCTGTTCTGTGTGTTCCAGAACTTCTGGCCCTGGCCTGTGTGTGTGTGTTCTGTTCTGTGTGTTCCAGAATTTCTGGCACTGGCCTGTGTGTGTGTGTTCTGTTCTGTGTGTTCCAGAACTTCTGGCCCTGGCCTGTGTGTGTGTGTGTTCTGTTCTGTGTGTGGCAGTGTGTGTGTGGCAGGGTTTCCGTTAGCCGGTAATAGCCGGATTTTGGCCGATTTTTTTTTGTTGAAAAGCCGATAAATAAAATTGGTACCGGCCAATTGTCCAGGAGAAGAAGAAAAAATCCCATTGTGAAATGATGCTTTTTAGCCTCTTCATTGATGAAAAATACCAGGCTGAGGAAAAGTAAATGTGGACTGTTATTCTAACATCTTCAATGTGCTCATCAGAATTCTGTAAGAAGGACTGCACATCCTTGCATCCTCGACTTGCATGTTCTGTTAATATGAATTACCATAATCAAAATGTGATTTCTGTCATTCTGAGCACTGTGAGTAGACGCCCTAATCAGGTTGCGCACCCAATGCATATGGGTCCGGTAAATTTCTCAAATGTCCGGTAAATTGAAATGCTGCCTGTCAAATGCCCGGTGCCACATTTTCCTAATGGAAACCTTGGTGTGTGTGTGTGTGTGTGTGTGTGTGTGTGTGTGGCAGTGCATACCTCAGGTCCCTGTTGTGTAGTTAATTATGTCCAGTCATTCAATTAGCCCCTGGAGGAGACATAGCCGCCCGCTGCCCACACCCCCACTGTTCTCTCTCTCTCTCTCTCTCTCTCTCTCTCTCTCTCTCTCTCTCTCTCTCTCTCTCTCTCGCTCTCGCTCTCGCTCTCGCTCTCGCTCTCTCGCTCTCTCTCTCTCTGCTTTTTTTATCATCAGCCAGTAATTATCCAATAAGTGGAATGCAAGTCCTCAGTCTCTGAGACACACAGAGTGGTTGATTACAGAGCCTAATGAATTCCCTTTCCTGTATTCCAGGAACATTGCATAATGCAGATGCCATATAATTGCTTTCTGCAGTATTGCAGGCATTGTGAAAAGCAATGTTCCCCACGCTCTCATCCATACCTCCTTTCTCATTCTCTCCTTCCATAACTCAAATCATTCTCAGATGTCAATTAAGCCTCTGTGTTCTAGCTTTAACTCAACTAAGTTGTACATCTCCCTCAGAATGACTCAGCAGACTGACTCAGCAATGTTGGGACTACTAGGCTAGTATGACTCCACTGTGGACTGTTAGCTTTGTCTCTGTACTCTGACATGACCTGTCACTATCAGTCCCAGGCTAAATCCTGACCTGTCCTGTCACTATCAGTCCCAGGCTAAATCCTGACCTGTCCTGTCACTATCAGTCCCAGGCTAAATCCTGACCTGTCCTGTCACTGTCAGCCCCAGGCTAAATCCTGACCTGTCCTGTCACTGTCAGCCCCAGGCTAAATCCTGACCTGTCCTGTCACTGTCAGCCCCAGGCTAAATCCTGACCTGTCCTGTCACTGTCAGCCCCAGGCTAAATCCTGACCTGTCCTGTCACTATCAGTCCCAGGCTAAATCCTGACCTGTCCTGTCACTGTCAGCCCCAGGCTAAATCCTGACCTGTCCTGTCACTGTCAGCCCCAGGCTAAATCCTGACCTGTCCTGTCACTATCAGTCCCAGGCTAAATCCTGACCTGTCCTGTCACTGTCAGCCCCAGGCTAAATCCACAGCAGCGCCCTGAAAGTTGCAGAAAAGCAACTGTATGTGTTTGTGCGTGTGTGTGTTTGGGGCCATGCATCCACACACACACTGGGATGCTAACAGCCCATATGGATTCTTATATGTTCTAACTGGAACTTGTAAGTAATGCAAATGGCAGCAAACACACTTACAAGATTCATAGAATATTCTTGTAATATATGACTTACATGGGTGGTTAACATTTAGACATAACAGAAATGTTGCATGTATTATATAAAAAACATACAAGAGACATGTAAACTAAACCTTGTAAGGTCTCACATACAGTGCATTCGGAAAGCATTCAGACCCCTTGACTTTTTCCACATTTTGTTACGTTACAGCCTTATTCTAAAATGGATTAAATCGTTTTTTCCCCTCATCAATCTACACACAATACCCCATAATGACAAGGCAAAAACAGGTTAAAAAAAAACAAAAACAAAAAACATGTATGAAATATCACATTTACATAAGTATTCAGACCCTTTACTCAGTACTTTGTTGAAGCACCTTTGGCAGCGATTACAGCGATTACAGTCTTGAGTCTTCTTGGGTATGACGCTACAAGCTTGGCACACCTGTATTTGGGGAGTTCCTCCCATTCTTCTCTGCAGATCCTCTCAAGCTCTGTCAGGTTGATTGGGGAGCGTCGCTATGTCTCCTCGCGTCGATTGGATTCAAGTCTGGGCTCTGGCTGGGCCACTCAAGGACATTCAGAGACTTGTCCCAAGGCTGTCTTGGCTGTGTGCTTAGGGTCCGTGTCCTGTTGGAAGGTGAACCTTCGCCCCAGTCTGAGGTCCCTCGATCCTGAGTAGTCTCCCAGTCCCTACCGGCTGAAAAACATCCCCACAGCATGATGCTGCCACCATCATGCTTCACTGTAGGAATGGTGCCAGGTTTCCTCCAGACGTGACGCTTGGCATTCAGGCCAAAGAGTTAAATCTTGGTTTCATCAGACCAGAGAATCTTGTTTCTCATTGTCTGAGAGTCCTTTTGGTGCCTTTTGGCAAAGTCCAAGCGGGCTGTCGTGCCTTTTACTGAGGAGTGGCTTACGTCTGGCCACTCTACCATAAAGGCCTGATTGGTGGAGGGGTGCAGAGATGGTTGTCCTTCTGGAAGGTTCTTCCATCTCCACAGAGGAACTCTGGAGCTCTGTCAGAGTGACCATCGGGTTCTTGGTCACCTCCCTGACCAGGGCCTTCTCCCCCGATTGCTCAGGTTGACCGGCCGGCCAGCTCTATGAAGAGTCTTGGTGGTTCCGAACTTCTTCCATTTTAGAATGATGGAGGCCACTGTGTTCTTGGGGACAATCCTGTCTCAGAGACCTCATGGCTTGGTTTTTGTTCTGAAATGGACTTTCAACTGTGGGACCTTATATAGACAGGTGTGTGCATTTCCAAATAATGTCCAATCAATTGAATTTACCACAGGTGGACTCCAATCAAGTTGTAGAAACATCTCAAGGATGATCAATGGAAACAGGATGCACCTGAGCTCAATGTCGAATCTCAAATCAAATCAAATCAAATTGTATTTGTCACATACACGTGTTTAGCAGATGTTATAGCGGGTGTAGCGAAATGCTTGTGCTTCTCATAGCAAAGGGTCTGAATACTTATGTAAATAAGGTATTTCTGTTTTTTATTTTTAATACAAAAATGTCTAAAAACCTGTTTTCGCATTGTCATTATGGGGTATTGTGTGTAGATTGATGAGAAAAATGTTTTATTTAATCAATTTTAGAATAAGGCTGTAACGTAACAAAATGTGGAAAAAGTGAAGGGGAACGAAAACTTTCCGAATGCACTGTACATGGGACATACACATTTCAAAACACTTGCATACCACTGTCTGACATCATTGATGCATGCAATGTGACACTTACTGAAAAAAGAAGCAAAGTCTGCCGTGAGGAGGATTAGGAGGAGCAGGTGGACCAGGATGAGAGAGGGGGAAAGCAGAAGGAGGAGAAGAGGAAGAGGAGGAGAAGAGGAGAGGAGAGAGGAGGGGCAGGAGGAGCAGGTGGAGGAAGGGGAGAAAGCAGATGGATGGGGGAGAGGAGGAAGAGAGGAGAGGAGAGGAGGAGGACAGGAGGAGGGGTATGGGGAGGAGGAGGAGCAGGGAGGAGTGGAGGGGGAGGAGGAGAGAAGAGGAGGAAGAGGAGAGAAGGAGGACAGGAAGAGGAGGAGGGGTATGGAGAGGAGGAGAGAGGAGGGGGAGGACAGGAGGAGGGGTATGGGGAGAGAGGAGGATAGGAGGAGGAACAGAGAAGGGGGAGGAGGAAGAGGAGAAAAGAGAAGAGGAGAGAAGAGGAGGAGGACAGAAGGGGGGGGGGGAGAAGGAATGACTTTGATAGCAGCAGTGAATCTATTTAGTTATTAAGTGGTGATCTTTCAACAATCGTTTTCACAATAGCACATTCAAATCGAATCAAATCAAATGTATTTGTCACATGTGCCGACTACAACAGGTGTATACCTTACTGTGAAGTGCTTACTCACAAGCACTTAACCAACAATGCAGTTTTAAAAAAAAGAAATACATTTTAGTCATTTAGCAAATAGAGTTAAGAAAATATTTACTAATTAAACTAAAAAGTAACACAATAAAATTACATGACAATAAGGAGGCTATATACAGGGGGTACCGGTACCGAGTCAATGTTAGTCGAGGTTATTTGTACATGTAAGTAGGGGTAAAGTGACTATGCATAGATAATAAACAGCTGTAGATAAATCAACTGTCCAGTAGGAGGTGCTGCCCAGCCTTAACCATGGAAACTTATACATGAACATTTATATAAAAATATAGTGTTTTTTTTATAGTAATTGTCATGGTTTTTCATATGTTGACTTATAAAAATACTGTGTGAAACCTATAAGGAATTTCTTTGTAGAGGTTACATTCTCAGAACATACACTTTTCTTATAATATTCATTGATGACTCATATAATTCATATATTTTGTCTCAAATATGTCATACCATATCTTTGTATGAAATGCACCACAATCATGTATTAAATTGTGTATGTCATATAAGGCATATAAGTTAAAACGTATACAAATATCGCACTGACATATAAGAAAAAATATACAAAATCTTACCAGATCCTTATTAGATTTATTTGTTTTATTTTTTTGCCATACAAGATTCTTATTTGATGTTCATAATTCTTTTCCATATGGGAGATGCGCTCAAACACAACACAGATATGCACAATCGCCCATACACACAAACAATGATGTATGCAGACATACATTGGCTTGCGAAAGTATTCACCCCCCTTGGCATTTTTCCTTACAACCTGGAATTAAAATTGATTTTTTGGGGGGGTTGTATCATTTGATTTACACAACATGCCTACCACTTTGAAGATGCAAAATATTTTTTATTGTGAAACAAACAATAAATAAGACAAAAAACAGAAAACATGAGCGTGCATAACTATTCACCCCTCCAAAGTCAATACTTTGTAGAGCCACCTTTTGCAGCAATTACAGCTGCAAGTCTCTTGGGGTATGTCTCTATAAGCTTGGCACATCTAGCCACTGGGACTTTTGCCCATTCTTCAAGGCAAAACTGCTCCAGCTCCTTCAAGTTAGATGGGTTCTGCTGGTGTACAGAAATCTTTAAGTCATTCCACAGATTCTCAATTGGATTGAGGTCTGGGCTTTGACTAGGCCATTCCAAGACATTTAAATGTTTCCCCTTAAACCACTCAAGTGTTGCTTTAGCAGTATGCTTAGGGTAATTGTCCTGCTGGAAGGTGAACCTCTGATTAATGCCCTCCTTGCCTGGTCTGTGAGTTTTGGTGGGCGGCCCTCTCTTGGCAGGTTTGTTGTGGTGCCATATTCTTTCCATTTTTTATAATGGATTTAATGGTGCTCCGTGGGATGTTCAAAGTTTCTGATATTTTTTTATAACCCAACCATGATCTGAACTTCTCCACAACTTTGTCCCTGACCTGTTTGGAGAGCTCCTTGGTCTTCATGGTGCCGCTTGCTTGGTGGTGCCCCATGCTTAGTGGTGTTGCAGACTCTGGGGCCTTTCAGAACAGATGTATAGAGTGAGGGGAAAAAGTATTTATCCCCTGCTGATTTTGTACGTTTGCCCACTGACAAAGACATGATCAGTCCATAATTTTAATGGTAGGTTTATTTGAACAGTGAGAGAAAGAATAACAACAAAAAAATCCAGAAAAACGCATGTCAAAAATGTTATAAATTGATTTGCATTTTAATGAGAGAGATAAGTATTTGACCCCTCTGCAAAACATGACTTAGTACTTGGTGGCAAAACCCTTGTTGACAATCACAGAGGTCAGACGTTTCTTGTAGTTGGCCAACAGGTTTGCACACATCTCAGGAGGGATTTTGTCCAACTCCTCTTTGCAGATCTTCTCCAAGTCATTAAGGTTTCGAGGCTGACGTTTGGCAACTCAAACCATCAGCTCCCTCCACAGATTTTCTATGGGATTAAGGTCTGAAGACTGGCTAGGCCACTCCAGGACCTTAATGTGTTTCTTCTTGAGCCACTCCTTTGTTGCCTTGGCCGTGTGTTTTGGGTCATTGTCATGCTGGAATACCCATCCACGACCCATTTTCAATGCCCTGTCTGAGGGAAGGAGGCCCCGTCCATCGTCCCTTTGATGCGGTGAAGTTGTCCTGTCCCCTTAGCAGAAAAACACCCCCAAAGCATAATGTTTCCACCTCCATGTTTGACGGTGGGGATGGTGTTCTTGGGGTTTTAGGCAGCATTCCTCCTCCTCCAAACACGGCGAGTTGAGTTGATGCCAAAGAGCTCGATTTTGGTCTCATCTGACCACAACACTTTCACCCAGTTGAATCATTCACCTCTGAATCATTCAGATGTTCATTGGCAAACTTCAGACAGGCCTGTATATGTGCTTTCTTGAGCAGGGGGACCTTGCGGGCACTGCAGGATTTCAGTCCTTCACGGCGTAGTGTGTTACCAATTGTTTTCTTGGTGACTATGGTCCCAGCTGCCTTGAGATCATTGACAAGATCCTCCCGTGTAGTTCTGGGCTGATTCCTCACCGTTCTCATGATCATTGCAACTCCACGAGGTGAGATCTTGCATGGAGCCCGATTGACAGTTATTTTGTGTTTCTTCCATTTGCGAATAATCGCACCAACTGTTGTCACCTTCTCACCAAGCTGCTTGGCGATGGTCTTGTAGCCCATTCCAGCCTTGTGTAGGTCTACAATCTTGTCCCAGACATCCTTGGAGAGCTCTTTGGTCTTGGCCATGGTGGAGAGTTTGGAATCTGATTGATTGATTGCTTCTGTGGACAGGTGTCTTTTATACAGGTAACAAGCTGAGATTAGGGGCACTCCCTTTAAGAGTGTGCTCCTAATCTCAGCTCGTTACCTGTATAAAAGACACCTGGGAGCCAGAAATCTTTCTGATTGAGAGGGGGTCAAATATGTATTTCCCTCATTAAAATGCAAATCAATTTATAACATTTTTGACATGCGTTTTTCTGGATTTTGTTGTTGTTATTCTGTCTCTCACTGTTCAAATAAACCTACCATTAAAATTATAGACGGATCATTTCTTTGTCAGTGGGCAAACGTACAAAATCAGCAGGGGATCAAATACTTTTTTCCCTCACTGTATATACTGAGATCATGTGACAGATGATGTGACACTTAGATTGCACACATGTGGACTTTATTTAACTAATTATGTGACTTCTGAAGGTAATTGGTTGCACCAGATCTTATTTAGGGGCTTCATAGCAAAGGGGGTGAATACATATGCACGTACCACTTTTCCGTTATTTATTTTTTGAATTTTTTGAAACAAGTTATTTTTTTCATTTCACTTCACCCATTTGGACTATTTTGTGTTTGTCCATTACATGAAATCCAAATAAAAATCAATTTAAATTACAGATTGTAATGCAACAAAATAGGAAAAACGCCATGGGGGATGAATACTTTTGCAAGGCACTGTACAGTATGTGCACACAACTGCACGTAGACACATGGAATGCACACAGTCACATAGCAAAACATATGCTTACACAAAAGCACATGCTTGCATAGCATGAGAAAGTTTCCATGTTGAAGCATAAGCCCTAGGCTATTTTCCTATTCCTTATCCAATGAAGTCAAACCTTTCAGAATTCTGAGAATCCCAGGAATGGGTTATTTTAAGAGCTTCTGAACAACTCTGTGTGTTATCAGATTAAGAAGCAGTTTAAGGAGAGGGGTGGGAGGGAGTTCAAAATCTGATCCACTTTCATAACCGTTAAATGAAGGGAGAGAGCGACGCTCTCCGTCACCATAAACACTGAGTATACAAAACATTAAGAACACCTTCCTAATATTGAATTGGACAGCCTCAATTCATCGAAAAGCGTTCCACAGGGTTGTTGGTCCATGTTGACTCCAATGCTTCTCACAGTTGTGTCAAGTTCGCTGGATGTCCTTTAGGTGGTTGACCATTCTTGATACACATGAGAAACTGTTGCGTGTGAAAAACCCAGCAGCGTTGCAGTTCTAGACACAAACTGGTGTGCCTGGCACCTACTACCATACCCCATTCAAAGGCACTTAAATCTTTTGTCTTTCCCATTTACCCTCTGAATGGCACACATACACAATCCATGTCTCAATTGTCTCAAGGTTTAAAAATCCATCTTTAACCAGTCTGCTCCCCTTAATCTACACTGATTTGAAGTAGATTTAACAAGTGACGTCAATAAGGGATCATAACTTTCACCTGGATTCACCTGGTCAGTCTATGTCATGGAAAGAGCAGGTGTTCTTAATGTTTTGTATACTCGGTGTATAAACAACTTTTGGAAAGCTCATATTCTGAGCTAGCAATTCAAAAAGCATAGTCCACAGATCTAATTGAATCTGAACAACCCTTTACCTGGAACAGAATATTGAAAAATATGACCTTGGCATACGTAATCCAAACCATTAATTTATGCATTTTAGGTTTGTTCACAGACTGTATTTATACCAAGGAAACGTTTTACGATAAAATTGTCCCCAACTCCCAACTGTTCACTGTGTCCCCTAAATCGTATGCACATTCCTTCATATGATGTCGGAGTGCCCTGCAGTTAAATGCTTCTGGGGCAAAGCTACAAACAAAAATCCTGAAGTGCATGAATATTCAATTCTTTGCATATATTATGTTACTTAACCCCGTGAATCTCTCAATCAATCAGAGAAGTTTGCTGCTGGCAGGCAGCACTGGTGCTGAAAAAATCTTGTCTCTAAGATGGCAACCACCACGCTCTCTGCATGGTTTCCGCGTGGGGACGGAGGATGCGGGCGGGTGGATGGGGACTGAGGGTGGGAATTGGTTGGGGTTATCTTTGTGTGCATTTCTTTGATTGCTTTTTTGTTCCTGTAACCCCCCCTGAAAAAAAAAAGGACAAAGCGAAATAGAGCTGCTGTTGTGCCTTCTTCACGATGCTGCCGTGTGAAGAAACCATTACAGGTCCTCAGTGATGTGCACGTAGACGAACTTGAAGCTTTTAACCCTCTCCACATTAACAGTTGGTCCTGAGAGGACAGTTGTATGGTCAGTTACTCATTTAAAACAGATTTGTTTTGTTCTCCCGTTTCCCTTCACAGACGTCACAGCAGCAAATGTCTGTAGGAGTGGAAACTATCAGTCACTTAAAGCTACTGGCTATCTGAGTCAGTCCCCCTCGCCAAGCACACAGAATTAGAGTACGGCACAGTCAGTCCCCCTCGCCAAGCACACAGAATTAGAGTACAGCATCGTCAGTCCCCCTCGCCAAGCACACAGAATTAGAGTAAGGCACAGTCAGTCCCCCTCGCCAAGCACACAGAATTAGAGTAAGGCACAGTCAGTCCCCCTCGCCAAGCACACAGAATTAGAGTACAGCATCGTCAGTCCCCCTCGCCAAGCACACAGAATTAGAGTACAGCATCGTCAGTCCCCCTCGCCAAGCACACAGAATTAGAGTACAGCATCGTCAGTCCCCCTCGCCAAGCACACAGAATTAGAGTACGGCACAGTCAGTCCCCCTCGCCAAGCACACAGAATTAGAGTACAGCATCGTCAGTCCCCCTCGCCAAGCACACAGAATTAGAGTACAGCATCGTCAGTCCCCCTCGCCAAGCACACAGAATTAGAGTACAGCATCGTCAGTCCCCCTCGCCAAGCACACAGAATTAGAGTACAGCATCGTCAGTCCCCCTCGCCAAGCACACAGAATTAGAGTACAGCATCGTCAGTCCCCCTCGCCAAGCACACAGAATTAGAGTACAGCATCGTCAGTCCCCCTCGCCAAGCACACAGAATTAGAGTAAGGCACAGTCAGTCCCCCTGACGCTGTTTTCCCCCTCTTCTTTCTTTCTTCTCTCCCTCTCTTTTATCTGTTCTAAATCATCGGCATGACTCGAGGCTCTATTATCTGTAATGTATGCTAATCATTCAAACATTCAAGGAGATGGGCCGTTTTACGGAGGGGGGGGCTGAGAAGTGGGGAACAGCAAGGCAGAGGAGTGGGGACTGTGTTTTTGGGGATGGGGCTCAGGGTAGGGATGCTTGCTATTCCCTTAAGTGTCTGGAAAGTGTGTGTTTCCATTACGCCATCTCGTTTCGCTGCAGTGCATGGCGTTGGTTGTTTTTGCACTGAGGCCAGGGGGGTAGACAGTAGAGGCAGGCCTGAGGTCCTTTGTGGCCAGGCCCAGGGCAGGCAGCCCCTGGTATGGTGTGGTGTGGCCAGGCTCCCCTCCGACGGTGGGCACACATCTGCTGGAAGGGTTGGCTCTTCTGCTGCCTGGCAGGCTGCTATCACAAAGAGAGGATAAATCAGAAGCAGTCTGTGGGGGATTGGTTTGAGGCTAGCTGGCTGTTTAGCTGTTTGGCTGCTGGCTGGCTCACTGGCTGGGCTGGCTGTCTGGAGAGATGGCTGACTGGAGAGATGGCTGACTGGAGAGATGGCTGACTGGAGAGATGGCTGACTGGAGATATGGCTGGCTGGAGAGATGGCTGGCTGGAGAGATGGCTGACTGGAGAGATGGCTGACTGGAGAGATGGCTGACTGGAGAGATGGCTGACTGGAGATATGGCTGGCTGGAGAGATGGCTGACTGGAGAGATGGCTGACTGGTGAGGTGCCTGGTGTGTGTCCTTCTGAGTCAGTCTGGGATGGTTTGTTTTGAGCAGACTGTGGATAAGTAAGTGACTTTTTCAAGTGTTTACAGTATGGTTATGTAAGGTCTTCCTGATTATGTCTTCACAGCAATAACTCATTTAACATACATTTCCTGAGGATTCATTGTAGAGGCATTTTAGCATAGCTGCTTCAGCCAAAATAATAATGCACAATTGTGATGAACACCAAAAGACCTGTAACCCTGAGGGGAAACTAAAAACATTGTTCCATTTCTCTTCAACTTTTTCTGTAAACACTGATCTGCCCTGACATTAGCCCTGAGCCAGAAGATGATGACCGTTATGACCCTGTTTTAATGGGCTGAGACTGGAGAGTCATGCATTGAGCAAAACATTTTATATTTAGTCATTTAGCAGACGCTCTTATCCAGAGCGACTTACAGTTAGTGAGTGCATACATTATTATAAAAATTTTAAAAATCATACTGGCCCCCCGTGGGAATCGAACCCACAACCCTGGCGTTGCAAACGCCATGCTCTACCAACTGAGCTACATCCCTGCCGGCCATTCCCTCCCCTACCCTGGACGACTTGTGCGCCGCCCCATGGGTCTCCCGGTCGTGGCCGGCTATGACAGAGCCTGGATTCGAACCAGGATCTCTAGTGGCACAGCTAGCACTGCATCCTTAGACCACTGCGCCACTCGGGAGAGAAAAAAACACCCACCCAATCAAGGGAAAGAACCTGGGAGGCGGCTGGTGAGAAGCCAGTCACACACACACACACACACACATATTGGCTTATCTAGTAGGAAATCCTACAGCAGTCTTCACTCTCTATCTATAAACACAGAAGGCTCACCTCATGCTCCGGCTTTTCAATACATAGAATTAATCTAACGGCTATAGCCACATAAATGTAACAAAATAATGGGACTGGTTTTACCCCATTTCGACCTAAAGAAAAAGTCCTAAATCCTTATTGGTAATGTGAGAGAGTTTTATGAGGACAAAGAGTGTCCATGAACTGAGAGAGTATTTGAAAGGAACTGATTTACGAGGAAGAATGCAGTGATTATAGTGTCTGTACACTGTAAAGGGATTTAGTTTGAGAAACCGGGGAACTCACGCTCAACTTTAAAGTTGTTCCTTGCTCCTTGCAGAGGACTTATGCTTATCCTGTTGATGAGAAGACACTGTGTGCTTCCGAAGTGGCACCCAATTGGCTAGCGCAATATTTTTGACCATAATCCTATGCGACCTTATAGTAGTGCACTATATAGGGAATAACGTGTCATTTCAGACACAACCACTTTCATTCTATGGGGGTTCCAGTGTGAACTAGCTGTCCCTAGTAAAGCCTTAAGACCTATTTATAGCCCAGTCCCTTCTATTGTACTTCCACTCCTCTCTGCCTCCTTTAGGTGGACCCCTGGTCCCTGGCTCCCTGGTCCCTACTGGTCTACATCAGCGTCTGTCTGACCCCTTGTTTCATACTGCAGGAAAAAAAGAAACTCCTTCTTCTGGAAAAGCCCTTCATTATCATTTATGGGAAACCTCATGGCCCACTCTCGCTTTTTTCCTTTTCCCGCTCCCATTAAAATAATAAAAAAAGAACATACTTTCCTTGTTTCCTTATGTTTCTATCCATACTCCCATAGTCTGTGTATACATGACTGCTGTGTTGGGAAATCTCCCCATAATAGGTCGTTAGTTTGTACTATGGCTGGTTGGCAGAAAACTCCCCTTTTTCCCTCTGGGAACACATCCATCACATTCTTTGGAAAGTCTGGGTGTTGCCGTATGGTATGGTATTCTCTTACTGCAAAAGCACGGCTGTGTGCGTGTGTGTGCGAGCTCGTGTGTGTGTTTTCAAAACCATTTAATTGTTCTGGAGCAGAGCAGAGAACAAATCGCTGGGAACACCTACAAAATGTAATTAAATGGAAAAATAAGGATTATACAGTCAAAGGGTAACTTTAGTGAGTGTATGGATTATGGACCCATGTTATTTGATGTTGAATTGATGATTTTCGGTACTTCTGAACAGGACCGTGTGTGCCACTTACCACTGGTGTAAGGTGACTGCCAATATGACTACAATGTCTTGTTATTTGGTCGCCTTCTTCAAACTTCAAGCTCAACAAAACAGCAAACATCCCACTGTGCAAAAACTGGTTGAATAAACTTTGTTTCCATGTAATTTCAACCCAAAACATCTGTGATGACGTTGAATCAAGGTGGAAACTGATTAGATTTGCAAAAATCATCAACGTATTTTTTTCACCCAACTCTCAACCTAAATCCAATGACGTGATTTGTATTTTTACCAAATGTAAATCAAAACTAGACCTTGAACTGTGGCATGAGTCTTTAACCTGAAGCCAGCGTTTTCCTTCTCTGTTTTATGTTTTTTATAAAGCGTCACACCTACAGTAGGGTTGACATTTCCTCTGAATGACTCACAGTCAGTATCCTCTGAAGCCTGGTGGTTCCTCTGACCTCCATGGAGGGGGTTCCTCTCTCCCTCAGAGGCCCAGAGCAGGGTAACCCTGCGTGGGCTGAGCTCCCCCACCTTCAGCCTCCCTCTTCCAGGCTTGGGAGGATGAGAGAGGAGAGGGGGATTCCTTTAGCGATAGCATTAGTATCACCCTTCTCCTCACCCGTGACTCATCTCTCTCTCTTCCCCCTCTCCCCCTCTCTCTCGCTCTCTCTCTTCCCCCTCTCCCCCTCTCTCTCTCTCTCTCTCTCTCTCTCTCTTCCCCCTCTCTTCTACCCCCTCTCTCTTCCCCCTCTCACCCCCCCTCTCTCTTTTCCCCCTTTCCCCATCTCCAGCTCTCTCTCTCTCTCTTCCCCCCTCCCCCTCTCTCTCTCTGCCTAGTTTAACTACCAGTCTCCTTTTCTTCTCCCGTCTCAAAGCATCAAAACAGATTTGTTTATTTCCCTCTCTGGAAGGGTCATCTGGGGTCACGCTCTGGGAGACATAAGTTCAGGAGAAGTGTTTGTTTGGACATTCCTTGCATTCACCGCACGCCTTCTCGCATGAGACGGCCGGGAGCTCTATGATTCAAATCAAATCAAATCTAATCTAATTTTATTGGCCACATGTGCCGAATACAACAGGTGCAGACATTACAGTGAAATGCTTACTTACAGCCCTTAACCAACAGTGCATTTATTTTTTATAAAAAAGTAAAATAAAACAACAACAAAAAAGTGTTGAGAAAAAAGAGCAGAAGTAAAATAAAATAACAGTAGGGAGGCTATATATACAGGGGGGTACCGGTGCAGAGTCAATGTGCGGGGGCACCGGCTAGTTGAGGTAGTTGAAGTAATATGTACATGTGGGTAGAGTTAAAGTGACTATGCATAAATAATTAACAGAGTAGCAGCAGCGTAAAAAGATGGGGTGGGGGGGCAGTGCAAATAGTCTGGGTAGCCATGATTAGCTGTTCAGGAGTCTTATGGCTTGGGGGTAGAAGCTGTTGAGAAGTCTTTTGGACCTAGACTTTGTGTGTGTGTGTGTGTGTGTGTGTGTGTGTGTGTGTGTGTGTGTGTGTGTGTATGCCTACATTTTACGTATGGGTGGTCCCAGGAATCAAACCCATTATCCTGGCATTGCTAGTGCCATGCTCTACCAACTGAGCTACAAGGACCATAGTGTTGAGTGTTTGGTATGGTGGAGCCAGTTAGGTCAGTGTTAAGTCATTCACTGCTCCACTACAGATGTGGGTGGTCCTGTGTACCTGCCCAGGTAGGCCAAAGGTGGGCTTGGTGTAGAGTTTCCCTCCACTTTAGCTAGAGAAAGGAAAAGTAACCATACAGCAGCTATAAGCGAGAGACTGAGTGGGACCACCTCTCGTTAAGTGCCTAGTAGGGCTGTGACGGTCATGGAATTTTGGATGACGGTTATTGGCCAGCAAAATGACCGCGTCTCCTTAATAACCTTTCGAATGGCAAAATATATACACTGAATAAAAATATAAACGCAACATGTAAAGAGTTGGTAAAAAATCTCTGAAATGTTCCATATGCACAAAAAGCTTATTTCTCTCAAATTGTGTCCACAAATTTGTTTACATCCCTGTAAAAAAATTGTTTTAAACATTTTGGTCATTTATTTTGGTCAGTATGATAATGTATGCACTCACTAACTGTAAGTCGCTCTGGATAAGAGTGTCTGCTAAATGACTAAAATGTAAAAGAGTTGAAGAGGTAGGGTTTCAGATGTTTTCGGAAGATGGGCAGGGACTCTGCTGTCCTAGCTTCAGGGGGAAGCTGGTTCCACCATTGGGGTGAGGACTGGGCTGAGTGGGAGCTGCCCTCCCGTAGGGGTGGGAGGACCAAGAGACCTGAGGTGGCAGAACGGAGTGCTCGGTTTGGGGTATGGGGTTTGAGCATAGCCTGAAGGTAGGGAGAGGCAGTTCCTCTTGTTGTCTTGTAGTGGATGCGAGCTTCAACTGGAAGCCAGTGGAGTGTGCGGAGGAGCGGGGTGACATGAGAGAACTTGGGAAGGTTGAAAACCAGGTGGGCTGCTGCATTCTGGATAAGTTGCAGGGGTTTGATGGCGGGGAGCCCAGCCAACAGTGAGTTGCAGTAGTCCAGACGGGAGAGGACAAGTGCCTGGATTAGGACCTGCGCCGCTTCCTGTATGAGGTAGGGCCGTACTCTACGGATTTTGTAGAGCATGAACCTGCAGGAGAGGGTCACTGCTTTGATGTTTGCAGAGAACGACAGGGTGTTGTCCAGGTTCACGCCAAGGTTCTTTGCACTCTGGGATGGTGACACTGTGGAATTGTCAACCGTGATGGAGAGGTCATTGAGTGAGCATTTCTCCTTTGCCAAGATAATCAAGAAGCTGATTAAACAGCATGATCATTACACAGGTGCACCTTGTGCTGGGGACAATAAAAGGCACTTGTGTAGTTTTGTCACACAACACAATGCCACAGATGTCTCAAGTTGAGGGAGCGTGCAATTGGTATGCTGACTGCAGGAATGTCCACCAGAGCTGTTGCCAGAAAATGTAATGTTCATTTCTCTACCATAAGCTGCCTGTCGTTTTAGAGAATTTGGCAGTACATCCAACCGGCCTCACAACCGCAGACCACGTGTAACCCCGCCAGCCCAGGACCTCCACATCCGGCTTCTTCACCTGCGGGATCATCTGAGGTGGGGTTTGGGGGGGTGCTGAGGAGTATTTATGTCTGTAATGAAGCCCTTTTGTGGGGAAAAACTCATTCTGATTGGCTGGGCCTGGCTCCCCACTGGGTGGGCCTAGCTTCCAAGTGGAGGGCCTATGATCATAGGCCAAAATGAATTTATTTAAATTGACTGATTTCCTTATATGAACTGTAACTCAGTCAAATCTTTGAAATTGTTGCGTTTATATTTTTTGTTCAGTATATATATATCTTGTTGTTTTTTACACAAATGTTTTCCTCTCCTCCACTCCTGACTGCATGTGCTACCATATATTGTATTTCTGTGTGCTGCTGCTGCACTTTGCCTGCACCTTTCTATGTGTGCTCTTTTGCTAGAATGCCTTGCTTGTTTCAGCAAGGATTAACAAAGTTTCATCACATTTTTTTTTTTTTTTGGTCATTTAGCAGATGCTCTTAACCAGAGCGACTTACAGGAGCAATTAGGGTTAAGTGCCTTGCTCAAGGGCACATCGACAGATTTTTCACCTAGTCAGCTCGGGGATTAGAACCAGTGACCTTTCGGTTACTGGCACAACGCTCTTAACCACTAAGCTACCTGCCGCCCCATAAAATATACTTTGATTTGTTTAACACTTTTTTGGTTACTACATGATTCCATATGTGTTATTTCATAGTTTTGATGTCTTCACTATTATTCTACAATGTAAAAAATAGTAAAAATAAAGAAAAACCCTTGAATGAGTAGGTGTGTCCAAACTTTTTGACTGGTAGTATACAGTTGAAGTCAGAAGCTTACATACACTTAGGTTGGAGTCATTAAAACTCGTTTTTCAACCACTCCACAAATTTCTTTTTAACAAACTATAGTTTTGGCAAGTCAGTTAGGACATCTACTTTGTGCATGACACAAGTATTTTTCCAACAATTGTTTACAGACAGATTATTTCACTTATAATTCACTGTATCACAATAACAGTGGGTCAGAAGTTTACATACACTAAGTTGACTGTGCCTTTAAACAGCTTGGAAAATTCCAGAAAATGATGTCATGGCTTTAGAAGCTTCTGATAGGCTAATTGACATAATTTGAGTAAATTGAAGGTGTACCTGTGGATGTATTTCAAGGCCTACCTTCAAACTCAGTGCCTCTTTGCTTGACATCATAGGAAAATCTAAAGAAATCAGCCAAGACCTCAGTCTGGTTCATCCTTGGGAGCAATTTCCAAACGCCTGAAGGTACCACGTTCATCTGTACAAACAATAGTATGAATGTATAAACACCATGGGACCACGCAGCCGTCATACCGCTCAAGAAGGAGAGGCGTTCTGTCTCCTAGAGATGAATGTACTTTAGTGCGAAAAGTGCAAATCAATCCCAGAACAACAGCAAAGGACCTTGTGAAGATGCTGGAGGAAACAGGTACAAAACTATCTATATCCACAGTAAAACGAGTCCTATATCGACATAACCTGAAAGGCCGCCCAGCAAGGAAGAAGCCACTGGTGTAACTGAGTCAGGTTTGTAGGCCTTCTTGCTCGCACACACTTTTTCAGTTCTGCCCACAGATTTTCTATAGGATTGAGGTCAGGGCTTTGTGATGGCCACTCCAATACCTTGACTTTGTTGTCCTTAAGCCATTTTGCCACAACGGCCAGGTAGGCGTCCACTGTAATCCTCCGTGGGGGGGTTTATTGCTTCAGCCCTAGAGGGGCAAAGGGGTGTAGGAGGGGTAGAGGGGTGTAGGAGGGGTAGAGAGGTGTAGGAGGAGTGTAGGAGAGGTAGAGGGGTGTATGAGGGGTAGAGGGGTGTATGAGGAGTGTAGGGGTACAGTCCCTGGTGGTCAAGGCAAAACAGGAAGGAATCCAACAGACTAAAACGTCTTTGTTCCGTCTGAGTTGGAGTAGAGTTACAGAAAGACAACCCATACCCCCTCCCACACACACACACACACACACACACCTTCAACAAACCCTGTTGCCATCCGGCTCTACTCTCTATATTTGTGGAGCCGTCAGAGCACAGTAGAAGTAGGGATCAGACACATTCTTCACACACACACAGCTACTACAACACCATACACAGGTATGTCTGCCTGGCTCTGCTGCTGATATAAGGAGGGAGATTGGAGGATTGGTAGGAGAAGCTTTATTTTCCCTGGGACTGGAACTGGGCCTTACCTTGGCAGGGTCGGCTATGCTGTCACCTGTGTTTGTTGTTGTAGTAGAGCTGTGTGTGTGTGTGGCTTGGGCGGTATACCGTAAATACCGGATAGCACGGACCTTGCCCTCTGGCCTCTAGCTAGGCTACATAAGAGAGTAGAGTAGAGAGTAGGTGTGTTTACTACAGTGCTAGGTCTATACAGCACTAACGCTCCCATCCTACAAGGCTTCCCTTGTGAGTTTACTGTATACTGAAACACGCCTATAAGAATAAGACGCTACTGCTTAAGATGCTATTGCACAGCTACTGTGCCGACGTTTCTTTAAACTCATCTTTAAAATGGATAGTGATAGAGTGCTTATTACTATAAGTAGTTACTAGTTTGTTAGAAATACTCAATTGGGACTCGTTCCCAGTGTGGAAGGGTAGTTGACTCGTTCCCAGTGTGGGAGGGTAGTTGACTCGTTCCCAGTGTGGGAGGGTAGTTGACTCGTTCCCAGTGTGGGAGGGTAGTTGACTCGTTCCCAGTGTGGGAGGGTAGTTGACTCGTTCCCAGTGTGGGAGGGTAGTTGACTCGTTCCCAGTGTGGGAGGGTAGTTGACTCGTTCCCAGTGTGGAAGGGTAGTTGACTCGTTCCCAGTGTGGGAGGGTAGTTGACTCGTTCCCAGTGTGGGAGGGTAGTTGACTCGTCCCCAAGAGGGAGGGGTAGCGAGGGAGGGTGTGAGTGAATCACTTTGAAAGAAAACAAACTGAAAGTGAGCGTCCTTATTGTGGAGTCCTTAACAAAGCCAGTTTTCAACATGACACGGTGTATCTAATGATAGTGACAGAAAAACAGCCTTTCTCTCTCAACGCTCTGAATGCCAGGGCAGATGCCTGAGCTGGTATAGCAGCTGCCTTGATACAGCTGAAAACAAACTCTGTTTGACTAACAAGAGATATAATGGTCCCCTTCTTGCCTAACACCCCAGGGGGTTGGAGGGTTTAGGGCACGGTAACACCAAGGGGATGGGACTGTAATGTACCCCCAGCAGGGTGAGAGGGGTGGGGGTGGGAGGGGGAGGGGGGCTACCTGGCTGTTCACTCTGGCTCGCTTGGGTAACAGGGCGGAGGGTGGAACATAACAGAATAGAAGAGAACATAGTGTGGCACAGAGAACCCTACCTTGCCAAGTCTCTCTCTCTCGCTCTCTCTCTCTCTCTGAGGGTTTTCTATGTGAGGTTCATCAGACCTAAATTCAGTGTCCAGCACAACAATCCACACTCAGACCATAATGTACCCTGCCGCACCCTCCATAATACCCTGACCTTACATCTCCCCTCTATAGTGAAGCCATAAATGTGTCTGGCAGCGGTTGGCTCTAGTCTGCCTCCTAAATGGCACCCTTTTCCCTTTGTACTGCACTACTTTTGACCAAAGCCCTGCACTCTGCACTATATAGGAAAATGGAATGCTATTTTGGACAAAGCCTCAGTCTGGCAGTGGTTGGATCTAGGTCTCTGGCTCTAGCTTCCTCTCCTTTCCTCTGCTGTTGAGACAGGCGGCCAGATCTCCTGTGGATGTTGCTCTGCTCTGCTGTGAGGTTCTAGATGAAAATACTGTAACTGCTTTACTTTGACCTACTTCTCAAAGATTGATGTAATCCCTAAGCAGATGGTTGTGTGTTATGCGAGAGAACGAGAGAGAGAGAAGTAGGGAGAGAAAAGAGAGAATGAATGTCTTGGTTAACTTAGCCGCAGGTATCTTTCCAATGTATTCCCCTGGGATTTGTATGGATACCGCCTGCCTGGTCTGGATGAGGCTTTGAGAGGTTATTTTCATTAGACTGTTGCACAACTGAGTTGTTGTTTTTTCATCGTTCCTCTGTTAACTGGTCGTGTGCTGTAACCCAGTTCACTGCAGGAATGGGACATTTGACTATAGTTACAGAAGCAGGGCATATAGTATGCTATTTATGCAACAGAAAGCAGGGCATAAAGAATGCTATGTATGCAACACAAAGATAATTGACACAGTACTGTGTGTGTGCATGTGGCGTGCGTGAGTGACCAAGCGTGTGCGCATGTATTTCGGTTTGTGTGAGAGAAAGTGAGATAGAGAGCATAATCTCTCTCTCGGCAGCTGTGTTGGTTTACTGGAGAGTTAGATGTTAGAGGAGACTGTTCAGAGCTGTGTTGGTTTACTGGAGAGTTAGATGTTAGAGGAGACTGTTCAGAGCTGTGTTGGTGTAATGGAGAGTTAGATGTTAGAGGAGACTGTTCAGAGCTGTGTTGGTGTAATGGAGAGTTAGATGTTAGAGGGGACTGTTCAGAGCTGTGTTGGTGTAATGGAGAGTTAGATGTTAGACGAGACTGTTCAGAGCTGTGTTGGTGTAATAGAGAGTTAGATGTTAGAGGAGACTGTTCAAAGCTGTGTTGGTGTAATGGAGAGTTAGATTGGCATCAAGGTAACAATAGCCCTGCCAGGGTCCTATTAGCCCTCACAAACACACTCTCCCAAGCTGCTGCTGCTGCGTGTATGCGTTCGTGCGCGAGTGTGTTATCCTCAAGGCCAGGTATGCAAATCCCGAGGGAATCACTCAGTGAGAATCATCGACCATAGCAAACCTCTGGACAAACGGTGATTGAGTCCTTAAAGAGTGACTGCCTTTAAAAAGCAACGGATCCCTTTGAAAACAGTCTATGTGGCATCGATATGAGTCAGAAACAGTTGTTCTAGTGTCAAAATTGACTACAAAGTGTAAATAGGATCATTTTGGTCATAAAGTCAGTCTTGTCTAATATGGAGTTTGGAACATCTGTGCGTCACAACGGGTAAATAAAGGTTTGGTTTTGATTTGATGATGTCCATTTGCCCACTAACATCGGATGAACAGCTGCAGTGATTTCTCTCTATCCAAAGGCATAGACAGTGAGAAAGACCTGCCCAGTAGCTCCGACTTTGTTTACATAAGACAACACGTCACACATTTCTTTACTTGAGAAATACTGCACCAAACACATTAGTTAGATGTAAAATTGCACAACTAAAACATCCTCTGCAAAAAAGTAAAAATTAATGACAGATTTCTTGAGTTATCTTAGATTCATTCTGGGAATTTTGAGGAAGTAAAAGACTTCAGCGTCTCATGAGGGACAAACATCATTAACCAAATGCAGAATGGTCAGGAAACACACCTCCAAGACTGAAATCATTTTTTTTTTATGAGCAACAGAGAAACACTTGCCAATTGGCGTGTTCAGTGGGCTCTTTAAGGCTCTCAGTTACTCCTATCATCACTGAACAGAGTCCAGTCGTCTCTCTGGTTCTTCCATGACGTCAAAGATACACTAAAAAGATCTGATAACGTTATCCTGATGGATGTTTTACGTTTATTCACATTCCTTCTCTGGGGTAGATAGCTTTGAAAGGTAGCTTTGTCATTAGCGTTTTCCTACTCCGATCGGCATTCCCATTCCATTCTTTGAACTTCCTTCTTTGCATTAGTCCTATATGTTCATCCTCATCTGTGCTCTGGGATGGAGAAGGATGCAATTGCTGCCAGCAATTTGGGGCGTTCCTGCCTGTGGGCAGTCCTGCATCTGCAGGAACCCCTCTTTATCCTTCTATTGGTCCGTTTTTAAGCGAGTCCAGGCGGGAGGCGGGGACGCTCCAGTACAGTAGGTGGTGGTAATGCACCATAATGTTGGGGGGAATGCCCACATGCAGGAGCGCCCCAAATTGCAGGCCACAATCACACACTATTGCTGGGATGTCCAGCAAAAGCTCCAGTGACCATTGATGACACATGAACTTGACTTTTCCCAACTCATATTGCCCAATGGCCGTGGAATATAAGTGACGCTATTTTATTCTCTATACATGTTCCGACTATTAATAGCCTGGTCCCACATCTGTTTGTGATGTCTTGCATGACAGTGACCATAGGAGTTGTCAAGGCAGCACAAACAGATCTGGGACCAAACTACTTAGGGCCTCAACCCAAAATACCATGCTGTTAATACTAGCTGTCATACTAGCTGTCAAGCCAATCACAGAGTACAATCTCAGTGACCTCATGCGTACAGTACATACATATATGAGTCCAGTTAAAGACAGCCCAAGAATGTCATAATAAGTAGCCGTTGTAACCACCCCCCTTTTCTTCTCTCTCTGAGACACTCCAAGCAGTGACTTGGGGAATCCTGTCATTGACCCATCTACCAACACTGTTGAGTAAAGTGTAACTTACTTGCAGGAGTAAACTTCATTACATGAGACTGTGTGGAGTGTTTTGTTGGCCCCATGGAGCGTGGGACACTGTTACTGGGGGTAGAATGGGTTAGGATGACTGGGGGAAGAGGGGCTCTGGAATACCGGCCAAGGCTCTGGAATGTCATTGTGTTCTTCGTTCCTATTCGGAATGTTCCAAGTTCTATCTGGCTGATGGTTCTTTTTAGCAATTAGATGCGATATCACTGCTGGGTCCAGATTGTTCCAGGCAAGCAGGACAAGAGCGGGGTCTATACAAGCCCAGAGAAAAGGCTCTACTGTCCTTTCTGCGCTGCCCAGGAACGGGAGGAATGTGGGCAGGCGGGGCCCAGAACAGAACAGCTAAAACCCCCTCATGAATTTTTAAAGGCCTTTCTCATTCAAAGCAGGGTCTGGCTCTCAGCGTGTGGCCCTGGGCAGGGCGGGCCGGGAGGTGTAGCAGAAGAGTGGGTAGCGGCCGGTTGGAGAGCGGAGCTGGCACCCTCTTTACATAACAGCCAGGGTGGGGGGATATTGGGTATCCCGGGTCTGGGAGATAATGGCCACTCACTCCGTCCGTGCGGCTAGACTATCCAGGTGCATTCTTGGCGCTGCCGTGCGTGTCTGGAGAGAATGGGGGGAACAAGAGAGAGGGAGAAAAAGAGAGACGGTACATTATAGAAGACGGTTCCATTAGTTAGGCCAACAGTTGACCTTGTGCAGTTTCATGGGACTTATGAATGAACAAACAAATAACCTAGTCATATACAGGTATACAGTTTAAATAACCCACTCATTTCTTTATTTTTGTTATTTTTTTATTTAACCTTTATTTAACTAGGCAAGTCAGTTAAGAACTAATTCTTATTTACAATGACAGCCTACCAAAAGGCAAAAGGCCTCCTGCGGGGACGGGGGCTGGGATTAAAAATAAAAATATAGGACAAAACACACATGACGAGACACCACAACACTACATAAAGAGAGACCTAAGACAACAACATAGCATGGCAGCAACACATGACAACACAGCATGGTAGCAACACCACATGACAACAACATGGTAGCAACACAACATGGCAGCAGCACAACATGGTAGCAGAACAAAACATGGTACAAACATTATTGGGCACAGACAACAGCACAAAGGCAAGAAGGTAGAGACAACAATACATCACGCGAAGCAGCCACAACTGTCAGTAAGAGTGTCCATGATTGAGTCTTTGAATGAAGAGATGGAGATAAAACTGTCCAGTTTGAGTATTTTTTGCAGCTCTTTCCAGTCGCTAGCTGCAGCGAACTGAAAAGAGGAGCGACCCAGGGATGTGTGTGCTTTCGGTAGCCTCTTTAATTCAGCCAGAGCGTTATTGTGAATGCATCAGGGTGTACGAGCTGGGAAGAGAAGTGGTCTATTGGAACAGAGCAGAGGCATTGTTAGCCTCAAGGTTGATTTATTCTAATTAGCACCATGTCTGTTGAGCCTTGCAGAGGCCTAGTGGAGGCTTAGCAACATGCTAATTGTTTTAGGCCCTGTACCAAATAGCACCCTATTCCCTATGTAGTGCACTGCTTTTGACAAGGGCCCATAGGGAATAGGGTGCCATTTGGGACGCATCCTTAGCCCCGTCTGCATGCTGATAGGCGCGCTACATCAATCACCATTAGTTACAGCACCAACAGGTCTGTCTGCTGGAACGCCCATAGATAACTATGACACACTGTGTGTGTGTGTGTGTCAAAACAAGTAATTCTGCTCCAGGCCTTCTGCTATCTGCCAGAGAAACAGCATCCATTTAGCAGAATGAATGACTATACGTCAATCATTTCTCTGATTTGTTGCCGTGTTATAAGGATTTGAGATGCATTCCGAGCTGAGACCTAGTTAGAGAGGTGGGTGGATGCTCAAGGCTCACACAATGGAGTTGTTTCCAGCTTTCCTGGCAAGAGGAGACCAAGGAAAGACTTAATAGAATCTACTTTTATTAACACTCATTTAACGATTATCTCATGAATTATTTGCAACTATTGCTAGGTTTCCATCCAATTGGTGACTGATTTTCATGCGAATATTCTACAATCTGCATATAGAAAATATGCACATTTTCCCACCAGTGGTGTGTTTCCACCAAACTGACTTGTTGCGGATAAAAATCAGTGTGTGATGACGTAGTGCTCACAAAATGTACTTTTTCACTTAAGTTTTCATGTACCGAATAAAAATCTGTTGCGTTAAACAGCAAATGTGCCTACTCTGGTCTTGACAGGTGCGCTCAACAGCTCGTAGGTACAGTGCGGGTATGTGCGGGAAGTCTAGTCTACATTATGAGATTATTAGGGATAAGACAATAATTGTATTTATCAAATGGCAGTCAAGCATCTATCATCATGTCAGCAGAATAAGACCATCGATATTTATTGGAAAGGAGCAAAAAGGTCACAGTGCACTTTCCCCACCCTGTAAAGTTCATCATAAGTTATTTCATCTGTAGCCTAATAAACTGCCTGGTTTCCCGAGTCGTAGTGGGAGGACCACACACCATATCATCGTGTGACTAAGTTTACTTCCATATCAATATTTGCGCATAAAGGAGTTTCCACCTCCATTTCTCGCATAATACATTTTACTGACACAAAAAGAACCATGTCGAATGAACAAGTGATCTGTCGGCAGTTATAAAATTGTACCAAAACTTCCTGTTTCCATCACAGCTGTCGTGATTTTTTTAAAATATACGGTATGACTTTACTCGCATAAAAACTGTGGATGGAAATGTGGTTATAGTCAGTAGCATTAGTCCAATAGGAACTGCTATTAAAGGGATACTTCATTCTGGGAACTCGTGGATACCATTTTTATGTCTCTGTGTTCAGTATGAAGTAAGTTAGAGGTATTCACGAGCCAATGCTAACTAGCGTTAGCACAATGACTGGAAGTCTACAGGTACAGGAGCATACGCTAGTGTACCTGTAGACTTCCAGTCATTGCGCTAACTTTAGTTAGCATTGGCTCTAGGAACTATGTCTAACTTCCTTCATACTGCACACAGGGACATAAAAAGGGTATCCATGAGTTCATCTGACTCTGGGTAAGTAGAAAAACTTAATTGCCAGAATCTTGCAGTATCCCTTGAAGCATATTAAGTACATTTTAGACAATAGCCTTTCTGTGAGCCATTCAAAATGATGAGGAGATTGTTATGTTTAATAGATTCCAAGAAACACAAACTGTGTACACTGTGCAGTCTTAGTTATCCATGCTGCATTATGTGTAAAGGACATACTGTACAGTCTTACGTTATCCATGCTGCATTATGGGTAAAGGACATACTGTACAGTCTTACGTTATCCATGCTGCATTATGGGTAAAGGACATACTGTACAGTCTTACGTTATCCATGCTGCATTATGGGTAAAGGACATACTGTACAGTCTTACGTTATCCAGGCTGCATTATGGGTAAAGGACATACTGTACAGTCTTACGTTATCCATGCTGCATTATGGGTAAAGGACATACTGTACAGTCTTACGTTATCCATGCTGCATTATGGGTAAAGGACATACTGTGCAGTCTTACGTTATCCATGCTGCATTATGGGTAAAGGACATACTGTGCAGTCTTACGTTATCCATGCTGCATTATGGGTAAAGGACATACTGTGCAGTCTTACGTTATCCATGCTGCATTATGGGTAAAGGACATACTGTGCAGTCTTACGTTATCCATGCTGCATTATGGGTAAAGGACATACTGTGCAGTCTTACGTTATCCATGCTGCATTATGGGTAAAGGACATACTGTGCAGTCTTATTTACATTTACGTAATTTAGCAGACGCTCTTATCCAGAGTGACTTAAAAATTGGTGCATTCACCTTATGATAGCCAGTGGGACAACCACTTTACGGCAACACTTTGCCGAATGGTGGAGTAGCTGGTCAGCTGTGGGGGAATGGTGGAGTAGGTTGGTCAACTTTGGGGGAATGGTGGAGTAGGCTGGTCAGCTGTGGGGGAATGGTGGAGTAGGTTGGTCAGCTGTGGGGGAATGGTGGAGTAGGTTGGGGAACTGTGGGGGAATGGTGGAGTAGGTTGGTCAGCTGTTGGGGAATGGTGGAGTAGGTTGGTCAGCTGTTGGGGAATGGTGGAGTAGGTTGGTCAGCTGTTGGGGAATGGAGGAGTAGGTTGGTCAACTGTGGGGGAATGGTGGAGTAGGTTGGTCAGCTGTGGGGGAATGGTGGAGTAGGCCAGGGTGGGTAACTGGCTTTTTTTTTTGTCATTTAGCAGACGCTCTTATCCAGAGCAATTAGGGTTAAGTGTCTTGCTCAAGGACACATTGACAGATTTTTCACCTAGTCGGCTCGGGGATTAGAACCAGCGACCTTTCGGTTACTGGCCCAACGCACAACGCTCTTAACCACTAAGCTACCTGCCGGGTAGCTTTGCAGGGTGACTAAGGGGTGGGCACTCATTATGAAGTTGAATCTTAACCCCTTGTTGCGCTTTCTCCATCCTTAAACTGCAATGAAGGGAAGAGCAGTGAGAAGTATAGAGAAATGGAGATGAAACTGAATAAAGGGAAATGTTGACTTGATTTTGCTCCCTATACAATATAAGGCCACAGAGAGGGAAAGCAGATCTAAAATATATTGTGCCTCATTCAATACAACTTTATTTGTCCCTTTAGGGCAATTACTATTCATCTCAATTGGAGTGCTGAAGGTGTTGCCACTGATAACAATGTCTGGTCCAATTCCAATAGCTATTTTCCTTGCTGATCATTAAGAATTTACTTCATAGTATCTACCTATAGGGAGGTACAAGGGATGTGTGTGTGTGTGTGTGTGTGTGTGTGTGTGTGAGTAAGAAACTGTAAGTGTGTGTGTTATCTGTGCCGTGACCTGCATGGCAGTCTACCTGGATGACCTCATGGCTTGGCCCAGGTGACTGGTGTGAGGAGAAGCAGAAGCCTTCGATCAGCGAACAGCTAGGCTGAGGTCATGGTGAGATAGGGGCCTGTGGAAAAACTGATGCTACACTAACATCTCATCGGTCCCGGGCCCCACAGCAGTCATAGCTCCCTGGGGAAACCCAAAAACGTGGGAGTAAAAAACAGACTGGGTGGTCAGAGCCCTCACGGCCAGACGATACTGACCCAGTCCACCCCCACCAAACAACTGGTCTTCTTCTACGGAGACACACATACACACACACACATACACACAGACATACAGGTACAGCTGACCCAGAGAATGGCCCAGGAACATTTAGACTTAGATGGATCGTTTTTGAATCTTCCAACCCTTTTTAGGTTAATGTTGGTCTCCTCTCCCTGTACCCCTCTTTCCAGAGCCGCGGCCTCGTAAAAACTTTAACATACTTCCTCTGTTATGACCTTGTGGATCGCTAAGATGATGTCATGATGATCTCTTGGACAGTCTGTTTTGGTTTTATTGTCGTGCTTCATAGCTAGAACCTGGCTCTGCTGTCTGATCATCTGCCTTTTAACGCTGGTGTTTTGCAGTGATGATATCATCAGAATTTAATTACATTTTTATTTCACCTTTATTTAACCAGATAAGCCAGTTGAGAACAATTTCTCATTTACAACTGCGACCTGGCCAAGATAAAGCAAAGCAGTGCGATTTAAAAACAACAACAACACAGAGTTACACATGGGATGAAACAAAACATACAGTCAATAACACAATATAAAATCTATATACAGTGTGTGCAAATGTAGTAAATGATGGAGGTAAGGCAATAAATAGATTTTTGCAGTTCGTTCCAGTCATTAGCAGCAGAGAACTGGAAGGAATGGCGGCCAAAGGAGGTGTTGGCTTTGGGGATGACCAGTGAGATATACCTGCTGGAGTGCATGCTACGGGTGGGTGTTGCTATGGTGACCAATGAGCTAAGATAAGGCGGGGATTTGCCTAGCAGTGATTTATAGATGACCTGGAGCCGGTGGGTTTGGCGACGAATATGTAGTGAGGGCCAGCCAACGAGAGCGTACAGGTCACAATGGTGGGTAGTATATGGGGCTTTGGTGACAAAACGGATGGCACTGTGATAGACTACATCCCATTTGCTGAGTAGAGTGTTGGAGGCTATTTTGTAAATGACATCGCCGAAGTCAAGGATCGGTATAATAGTCAGTTTTACGAGGGCATGTTTGGCAGCATGAGTGAAGGAGGCTTTGTTGCGAAATAGGAAGCCGATTCTAGATTTAACTTTGGATTGGAGATGCTTAATGTGAGTCTAGAAGGAGAGTTTACGGTCTAACCAGACACCTAGGTATTTGTAGTTGTCAACATATTCTAAGTCAGACCCGCCGAAAGTAGTGATTCTAGTCGGGCAGGCGGGTGCAAGCAGCGTTCGATTGATGAGCATGCATTTAGTTTTACTAGCGTTTAAGAGCAGTTGGAGGCTACGGAAGGAGTGTTGTATGGCATTGAAGCTCGTTTGTAGGTTTGTTAACACAGTGTCCCATGAAGGGCCAGATGTATACAAAATGGTGTCGTCTGCGTATAGGTGGATCTGAGAGTCACCGGCAGCAAGAGCGACATGATATGATATACACAGAGATGGTGGCTGGGGTAGGGGTAGCCAGGTGGAAAGCATGGCCAGCCGTAGCAAAATGCTTATTGAAATTCTCGATTATCGTACATTTATCGGTGGTGACAGTGTTTCCTAGCCTCAGTGCAGTGGGCAGCTGGGAGGAGGTGCTCTTATTCTCCATGGACACATCGACAGTACAGTGTCCCAAAACATTTTGGAGTTAGTGCTACAGGATGCACATTTCTGTTTGATAAAGCTAGCCTTTGCTTTCCTAACTGATTGTGTATATTGGTTCCTGACTTCCCTGAAAAGTTGCATATCGCGGGGGCTGTTTGATGCTAATGCAGTACGCCACAGGATGTTTTTGTGCTGGTCAAGGGCAGTCAAGTCTGGGGTGAACCAGGGGCTATATCTGTTCTTAGTTCTGAATTTTTTTGAATGGGGCATGCTTATTTAAGATGGAGAGGAAAGCACTTTTAAAGAACAACCAGGCATCCTCTACTGACGGAATGAGGTCGATATCCATCCAGGATACCCGGGCCAGGTAATTAGAAAGGCCTGCTTGTTGAAGTGTTTTAGGGAGCGTTTGACAGTGATGAGGGGTGGTCGTTTGACCGCGGACCCATTACGGACGCAGGCAATGAGGCAGTGATCGCTGAGATCCTGGTTGAAGACAGCGGAGGTGTATTTAGAGGGTAAATTAGTCAGGATGATATCTATGAGGGTGCCCATGTTTACGGATTTAGGGTTGTACCTGGTAGGTTCCTTGATAATTTGTGTGAGATTGAGGGCATCTAGTTTAGATTGTAGGACGGCCGGGGTGTTAAGCATATCCCAGTTTAGGTCACCAAGCAGTACGAACTCTGAGGATAGATGGGGGGCAATCAATTCACATATGGTGTCCAGGGCACAGCTGGGGGCTAAGTGGGGGTCTGTAGCAAGCGGCAACAGTGATAGACTTATTTCTGGAGAGGTGGATTTTTAGAAGTAGAACTGTTTGGGCACAGACCTGGATAGTATGATAGAGCTCTGCAGGCTATCTCTACAGTAGATTGCAACTCCGTCCCCCCGTGTACCTGTGTCTTAACCATGTCTCTCTGTGTCTTAACCATATGTCTCTCTGTGTCTTAACCGTATGTCTCTCTGTGTCTTAACCATGTCTCTCTGTGTCTTAACCATATGTCTCTCTGTGTCTTAACCGTATGTCTCTCTGTGTCTTAACCGTATGTCTCTCTGTGTCTTAACCATATGTCTCTCTGTTTCTGAACCATATGTCTCTCTGTGTCTTAACCATATGTCTCTCTGTGTCTTAACCGTATGTCTCTCTGTGTCTTAACCGTATGTCTCTCTGTGTCTTAACCGTATGTCTCTCTGTGTCTTAACCGTATGTCTCTCTGTGTCTTAACCGTATGTCTCTCTGTGTCTTAACCGTATGTCTCTCTGTGTCTTAACCGTATGTCTCTCTGTGTCTTAACTGTATGTCTCTGTGTCTTAACCGTATGTCTCTCTGTGTCTTAACCGTATGTCTCTCTGTGTCTTAACCGTATGTCTCTCTGTGTCTTAACCGTATGTCTCTCTGTGTCTTAACCGTATGTCTCTCTGTGTCTTAACCGTATGTCTCTCTGTCTCTTAACCGTATGTCTCTCTGTCTCTTAACTGTATGTATATGTGTCTTAACCGTATGTATCTGTGTATTAACCATATGTCTCTCTGTGTATTAACCATATGTTTAATATAATAATATTAATTAATATTAATATTTAATAATATAATATAATCTTAACCATATGTCTCTCTGTGTCTTAACTATATGTCTCTGTGTCTTAACCATATGTCTCTGTGTCTTAACCATATGTCTCTCTGTCTTAACCATATGTCTCTCTGTTTCTTTGTGTTTTCTAGACGGAGGCCATGCGGCGGGCCCTGAAGGAGCTGGGCCTGAACATCGTTGAGATGTCTGATGAGAACGCCACTCTGGACGGAGGGGACGTCCTCTTTACAGGTACACCACAACATCCCTCCAACCACATGTCAGTACACACACATCCCACCAATCACATGTGACATGCCCTTATCACAGGTACACCACAACATCCCTCCAACCACATGTCAGTACACACACATCCCACCAATCACATGTGACATGCCCTTATCACAGGTACACCACAACATCCCTCCAACCACATGTCAGTACACACACATCCCACCAATCACATGTGACATGCCCTTATCACAGGTACACCACCACATCCCACCAATCACATGTCGGTACACACACATCCCACCAATCACATGTGACATGCCCTTATCACAGGTACACCACCACATCCCACCAATCACATGTCGGTACACACACATCCCACCAATCACATGTGACATGCCCTTATCACAGGTACACCACCACATCCCACCAATCACATGTCGGTACACACACATCCCACCAATCACATGTGACATGCCCTTATCACAGGTACACCACCACATCCCACCAATCACATGTCGGTACACACACATCCCACCAATCACATGTGACATGCCCTTATCACAGGTACACCACCACATCCCACCAATCACATGTCGGTACACACACATCCCACCAATCACATGTGACATGCCCTTATCACAGGTACACCACCACATCCCACCAATCAAACACCATTATCACCATTACCTGCCAAGGCCACTGCCACCACCATCATTGATCACTATGGAAACTGCTATATTCAGTGAACTAAACTGTTATATCATGCAAATGATATGACCTATCACCACAGGGGTGTGAGTAAACATTGTTCAGAATAATTGTAACTCTGAATAGTCAAGTAGTTGATTTGACCTGAACTAAAATGGCAAATTACAAACTGACTGACTGCTGGTATCATTTCTATGCATGATTGAAAATGATTTGCTCAAATGGAAACGTAACCTCCCCCCACACAAACACAAACACGCACATGCACAAACACACCACCTCATTTCATCAGCTGCCTTGTTCCACATCAGGCATCTCACAATAAACCTGATGGGAGCAGAGGTAGAGAAATCGAGTCGAGGTCTTTATTATGTTCCCTCTCTGTTCATTCTGTACGCTGTGCAGGGCTTGGAAAAAGCCCTAGAACACTTAATTGAGTTTCTAGACGTTGGCTCTCTCTCCGTGGTGTGTTCCTCCCATCTCATCCAGCTGAAATGGGTTTCACATGGCAGGCAGGGCTAGAAACATTTCCTCTTGGCAACGTCGTCGCTAATGGCTAATTTGTAAAAGCTCAGCAGCTACGCCCATTCGCTCTGCTCTGGAGCGGTGAGCAAAACGTTCAGGCCACTCTCTGTTTCTATCTTTCTATTTATCTCTCTCTGTCTATGCCTCTCTTCTCTCTCTCCATCTCTCTCTCTCCATACTGACCACAGTTTGTCGTCTGTTTCTCCTCAGGTAGAGAATTCTTTGTGGGCCTTTCCAAACGGACCAATCAGAGAGGAGCTGAGATCCTGGCGGACGCGTTCAAGGTGAGTGAGAGCAGACTAGAGCAGTGCACCCTGGGAATATTCAGACTGACTTCCTGTGTCATCAAGCCACCATTAGTGAGGTAATCCTGGTCTCATTCAGGGGTCTCAAGGGCTACAGTGCATTCTAATCAGCTATTGATTAGGACATTGATTAGTTGGCAAACCTGGTGTATCTGGAATCTATTGCCAGTTAATGAGATTAATTGATTGAATTAGTACCAAAGAGAAACCAGAGAAAGCCTGCACATACTGTACTGAGATGATAGAGGACTGGAAGATGGCCTTGGCTTTCAGATCAGTGCATATACTGTAGGTAGATAGAGCTCTGGAGAAGAGGGTCATTCCAGAGGTCTTGGATTCAACCCCAGTCACCTTAACACTTACACACACGCACACACAGTCAGAAGGCCTTTTCTGACTTGTAAGGTCATGGGGTCCTGGAGAGTTCAACCCCCAACAATAATCTGACCGTTTCTCACTGCTCCTGTCTGTGACTAATTTAAATTCCACCATCGTATCTCTCTCAGCCTCTCACTTTTCTTCGTTATCCTTGCTAAGTCGGGTCTTGATGATGCAGCTTTTTCCCCTCCTACTGTTTTTCCCTCCTTCCTTTATCAAATGTAGGACCATTGTACAGCCTGTTGTGGTCAGACCAGGATTAACCACAGATGTGAGTTAGGGGTTGGATGTGGAAAAGGAAATACTCTGATGTGATTGAGGGGTTGGATGTGGAAAAGGAAATTATCTTCTCCTTTATGATCCTTGTTGAGTGGGGGAAACGGAGGGAAGGGAGGAGGTCAAAGTGCAGGGGAGACGTCTGTACCAGGCTATTGTCTCACATTCAGGGTCACAACACTGTACAGCTTGTCAGACACCATAAAGAAAACTTCCCCTGTAAATTAAGGAACATACAGAACAATCAGGATAGCGGAACTTCTCACTCAAAACTTATATCAAAGCTGAACACATCTCTGGGATTCCCCACAATATGATAAGTTGTTATCATGTCTCTCACAATAAGCTCAGGGGAAGGCATTTGCCTGCTGCTATCCCTTTGAATCACTGTTTGGGCTAAACTGTCTTTCCACTGATAAGGAATGACGACAGTTTGATTAAGTGGCCCACTTTGCTTTGATTCATTCAAAGGAACTCTGAGGGTTGAGTTAAGAGAGCAGGAAAGACTTTGGTGATGAGGGGAAGAGAACAATTTCACACATGATAAACTGTCAGGAAATGCCGTTCCTTGTTCCAGTCAGAGAGGAGATTTGCTTTGATCTAGGCCGACTCTTAAGCAAAAGTAAGTTAAATTAAGTAACATTTAGCAAGTAAGTTAAATTAACTTTTCCCTTAATATGGACCAGGCCAGAGAAACAGGGGCAGGAATTATGTTTCAGATATGGGTCAGCTATGACAGAGGAGAGTGAATTGACACTCCAAATAACATGTCCATTCCTGCCACAGTGGACCTGGGAATCGAACCCAGTGGACCTGGGAATCGAACCCATGTCACAAGAAGACAACGTACTCCAGAAGCTCACCACTAGCCCACCAAAACCATGGAACAGGGGACAATGTACTGCAACCATGGGGTAGTTTTGGTATGACAGAGCAGAGCAAGATGCCACTCCACATCATCAGTCTCTGTCTGAGCAGCAGCCAGGAAGCCATATAGGAGTGTCTGGCACGTGAGGCCAGAGGAACAGGTAGCTAGCTCCCAGTAAGAACGGTCCTAAAACCACCGCTGTAATTACAGACAGAGGGGAGGGGCTAGTGGCCTGGGGCTCTGGTGACCTCACCTCTCAGACCCTCAACTAAATCAGTGGCCTAGGGCTTTGGTGAACTCATCTGTCAAACTCTCAACCAATGCCGGTTAGGTTACCTTTCCCACTGGGGCCTGTTTAGTCCAATAACATTAGTGTGTGTAATGCAGTAGGGTTATTGTGTGTCTGCAGGACTATGTCCAGGGTCCCTGTAATGCAGTAGGGTTATTGTGTGTCTGCAGGACTATGTCCAGGGTCCCTGTAATGCAGTAGGGTTATTGTGTGTCTGCAGGACTATGTCCAGGGTCCCTGTAATGCAGTAGGGTTAATGTGTGTCTGCAGGACTTTGTCCAGGGTCCCTGTAATGCAGTAGGGTTATTGTGTGTCTGCAGGACTATGTCCAGGGTCCCTGTAATGCAGTAGGGTTATTGTGTGTTTGCAGGACTACGCTGTGTCCACCGTTCCCGTCACTGATGGTCTACATCTGAAGAGCTTCTGCAGCATGGGAGGACCAGGCCTCATCGTGATTGGCTCCAGCGAACCGGCCCAGAAAGCCCTGAAGGTATGGGTCACCAATGAGTGTATGGGTCATGCAAGATAGGACTATGTTCTTACTTTCCTTTGCGGCATCTCTTGTTAATTACGTTTAGTTTAATAGTGTTTGCAGAAAACATAACTGAAATATACTTTCCCATCCCATCCTCATTTATTTTTAAGCACGACCAATAGATATTCTTTCCATTCTTATACAAGCACAAAATGATGAAAACATTACAGTGCTTACTATCTTTCTCCTTTCAGGAGCTGTTGCAATTTACCCATCATCATGGCTCGACATTTGCCCAATCATTTTGTGCTTGTGTTACATTTCAATAAAATATAAATGGAACACATAAACAGCTCTTAATGCACAGTTAAGTTTGCAAACCTAAACTTTTGATATATTTTCTTCAAGTTCTTAGTGGTAAAATGAGGTCTTTGTATTGAGGGATCATTTCGCCCTTGGCCATCATGTTGAGATTATCTCGGAGATCATATTGCCCGATCTCACCTCAACTCTGATTCATATAGAACAAACAAGTGAGGTAAGCACACTGCATTGAGAAGATGGCTTCTTCAGTGAAAAGCAACAGTATAGTTGACAGTTGACTGGGCAATGCATGGTTCACTTCTAGGTCACTTTTCATTTTGGAGGAGCTTCCATAAATCCAAAGCCCCGAAGCATTACATTAGCCTGAAGCACCAGAGAGTGACCTAGGAGAGGAATGATTGGATCTTTGGGGGATTTGGAATGTTGTCATTGCCTTTCCCCAGGTACTCCCAAATTTAACTTTGACTGGGACTGTAGTCATGTAAACCTATCAAGTTTAAAGAGTATTTATTTTACATTGACGCAGGTTTTTTCTGTTAATATTTTGGTTTTTGGCTCTGTCTCTAGATACTGTAACTGTACCACACTGTGCTCCTTCCTTCCTTCCTTCCTTCCTTCCTTCCTTCCTTCCTTCCTTCCTTCCTTCCTTCCTTCCTTCCTTCCTTCCCCCTCTGTCAGGTATTCACCGTGCTGCGTAACACAGCAAGACAGGACATCACACGTGTTGACTCAGTACCCCCCACCACCACCTCACACACACCTCCAGATCACGGAGGCATGTTGTTACCTCCTGCCTTTCATGGAGGCATGTTGCTACCTCCTGCCTTTCATGGAGGCTGTTGCTACCTCCTGCCTTTCATGGAGGCTGTTGCAATAAATCTCTGCCTGTTCTTTTCTGATGGACAGATACACAGAATTCCCTGTCACCAAGGCAGAAGACTGACATGCACACACCAAACCACACTACAGACAGTAGTGGTGTACACACGCCTGGCACGCAGCTCTGTGTCAATACACAGTACACGGTACAGACACGCAGCTCTGTGTCAATACACAGTACACGGTACAGACACGCAGCTCTGTGTCAATACACAGTACACGGTACAGACACGCAGCTCTGTGTCAATACACAGTACACGGTACAGACACGCAGCTCTGTGTCAATACACAGTACACGGTACAGACACGCAGCTCTGTGTCAATACACAGTACACGGTACAGCCACGCAGCTCTGTGTCAATACACAGTACACGGTACAGACACGCAGCTCTGTGTCAATACACAGTACACGGTACAGACACGCAGCTCTGTGTCAATACACAGTACACGGTACAGACATGCAGATCTGTGTCAATACACAGTACACGGTACAGACACGCAACAGAATGTTACACATTTGAAACCTCACAGACAAGACAACTCACACACCTGAGACACACACACACACCCGAGACACACACACACCCGAGACACACACACACCCGAGACACACACACCCGAGACACACACACCCGAGACACACACACACACCTGAGAGTTAACAGCCAGGCGTTCTCAGTCGTAGGGTTCCTCCTCATCTGCCTCTTCAGGGAGACGTCGCCCCCTACTGGCCCAGGGCTGCAGAGGGTTGTAACACTGTCAGTAGGTTGAGAGGAACCATCTACACACTTCAACCACAGACAGACAGACACAATCCAAGTACACATCTCTTTATGTGGATCCCCATTAGCAGCTACAATTGCATCAGCTACTCTTCCTGTGGTCCACAAGTATCCTTATCAGTGAGATGTGTAAAGACTGCATAGATTTGTCCCCTATGTTATCCTCATTTAACACACTAAGGCAAACATATCCACATACTAGTTAAATACACTGCTAATTAATTATTAGGTCATGGTGATAGCTAACTAATACAACACACTTTTATTTGATACACACTGGAGCCCCATTAAGATGTCATACTATTAGCAAGCCTGTTAATTAGCTACTGGAGAGAAAGAGAGAGAAGGCCATTAGCATGAGTTAATGACAGAGTGTCTCACAGCATTGTAATTACAGATTACATCACCCCCTCTCCAACATGCAATTACCTGTGGTTATAAAATACTTTAATGAATGTCTGAGATCACATTTCCAATTAGGTAATGTTCTGCTCAGGGTGAAAGTGACTGGGGTCTTGTGAATGTAGCTGTAATGAACGTAAAGGGGTGGTTGTGAATGCTATTCTAACGAATGCAAATGGGTTGCTGTTGTTGTGAATATACACTACCGGTCAAAAGTTTTAGAACACCTACTCATTCAGGGGTTTTTCTTTATTTTTACTATTTTCTACATTGTAGAATAATAGTGAAGACATCAAAACTATGAAATAACACATATGGAATCATGTAGTAACCAAAAAAGTATTAAAGAAAATATATTTTATATTTGAGATTCTTCAAATAACCACCCTTTGCCTTGATGACAGCTTTGCACACTCTTGGCATTCTCTCAACCAGCTTCATGAGGAAGTCACCTGGAATGCATTTCAATTAACAGGTGTGCCTTGTTAAAAGTTAATTTGTGCAATGTCTTTCCTTCTTAATGTGTTTGAGTCAATCAGTTGTGTTGTGACAAGGTAGGGGACATGGGGCGGCAGGTAGCTTAGTGGGTAAGAGCGTTGTGCCAGTAACCGAAAGGTCACTGGTTCTAATCCCCGAGCCGACTAGGTGAAAAATCTGTCGATGTGCCCTTAAGCAAGGCACTTAACCCTAATTGCTCCTGTAAGTCGCTCTGGATAAGAGCGTCTGCTAAATGGCGTAAATGTAAATGTAAATGTAGGGGGGTATACTGAAGATAGCCCTATTTGGTAAAAGACCAAGTCCATATTATGGCAAGAACAGCTCAAATAAGCAAAGAGAAACGACAGTCCATCATTACTTTAAGACATGAAGGTCAGTCAATACGGAACATTTCAAGAACTTTGAACGTTTTTTCAAGTGCAGTCGCAAAAACCATCAAGCGCTATGATGAAACTGGCTCTCCTGAGGACCATCGCAGGAATGGAAGACCCAGAGTTACCTCTGCTGCAGATGATAAGTTCATTAGAGTTACCAGCCTCAAAAATTGCAGCCCAAATAAATATTTTACAGAGTTCAAGTAGCAGACACATCAACTGTTCAGAGGAGACTGTGTGAATCAGGCCTTCATTGTCGAATTGCTGCAAAGAAACCACTACTAAAGGACAACAATAAGAAGAAGATACTTGCTTGGGCCAAGAAACACGAGCAATGGACATTATGTGTCCTTTGATCTGGAGTCCAAATTGGAGATTTTTGGTTCCAACCGCCGTGTCTTTGTGAGACGCGGTGTGGGTGAACGGATGATCTCCGCATCAAATCAAATCCAATTGTATTTGCCACATGTGCCGAATACAACAGGTGTAGACATTACAGTGAAATGCTTACTTACAAGCCCTTAACCAACAATGCATTTTTTTTTTAAATACAAAAAAAAAAAAGTGTTAAGTAAAACAATTAAAGCAAATAACTAAAGAGCAGCAGTAAAATAAAATAACAGTATGGAGGATATATATAGGGGGGTACCGGTACAGAGTCAATGTGCGGGGGCACCAGCTAGTCGAGGTAATTGAGGTAATATGTACATGTGGGTAGAGTTAAAGTGACTATGCATGAATAATAAACAGAGTAGCAGCAGCGTAAAAGAGGGGGATGGGGTGGGGTGGGATGGGGGGGCAGTGCAAATAGTCCGGGTAGCCATGATTAGCTGTTCAGGAGTCTTATGGCTTGGGGGTAGAAGCTGTTGAGAAGCCTTTTGGACCTAGACTTGGCGCTCCGGTACCGCTTGCCGTGCGGTAGCAGAGAGAACAGTCTATGACTAGGGTGGCTGGAGTCTTTGACAATTTTTAGGGCCTTCCTCTGACACCGCCTGGTATAGAGGTCCTGGATGGCAGAAAGCTTGGCCCCAGTGATGTACTGGGCCGTACGCACTACCCTCTGTAGTGCCTTGCGGTCGGAGGCCGAGCAGTTGCCATACCAGGCAGTGATGCAACCAGTCAGGATGCTCTCGATGGTGCAGCTGTATAACTTTTTGAGGATCTGAGGACCCAAGCTAAATCTTTTCAGTCTCCTGGGGGGGAATAGGCTTTGTCGTGCCCTCTTCACGACTGTCTTGGTGTGTTTGGACCATGATAGTTTGTTGGTGATGTGGACACCAAGGAACTTGAAGCTCTCAACCTGTTCCACTACAGCCCCGTCGATGAGAATGGGGGCGTGCTCAGTCCTCTTTTTTTTTTCCTGTAGTCCACAATCATCTCCTTTGTCTTGATCACGTTGAGGGAGAGTTTGTTAACCTGGCACCACACGGCCAGGTCTCTGACCTCCTCCCTATAGGCTGTCTCATCGTTGTCGGTGATCAGGTCTACCACTGTTGTGTCGTCGGCAAACTTAATGATGGTGTTGATGGGCCCCCGTGTTGAGGATCAGCGTGGCAGATGTGTTGTTACCTACCCTTACTACCTGGGGGCGGCCCTTCAGGAAGTCCAGGATCCAGTTGCAGAGGGAGGTGTTTAGTCCCAGGGTCCTTAGCGTAGTGATGAGCTTTGAGGGCACTATGGTGCTGAGCTGTAGTCAATGAATAGCATTCTCAAGTAGGTGTTACTCTTGTCCAGGTGGGAAAGGGCAGTGTGGCGTGCATTAGAGATTGCATCATCTGTGGATCTGTTGGGGCGGTATGCAAATTGGAGTGGGTCTAGGGTTTCTGGGATAATGGTGTTGATGTGAGCCATGACCAGCCTTTCAAAGCACTTCATGGCTACAGACGTGAGTGCTACGGGTCAGTAGTCATTTAGGCAGGTTATCTTAGTGTCCTTAGGCACAAGTACTTTGGTGGTGTGCTTGAAACATGTTGGTATTACAGACTCAGTCAGGGACATGTTGAATATGTCAGTGAAGACACTTGCCAGCTGGTCAGCGCATGCTCGGAGTACACGTCCTGGTAATCCGTCTGGCCCTGCGGGCTTGTGAATGTTGACCTGCTTAAAAGTCTTACTCACATCGGCTATGGAGAGCGTGATCACATAGTCATCCGGAACAGCTGATGCTCTCATGCATGCTTCAATGTTGCTTGCCTCGAAGCGAGCATAGAAGTGATTTAGCTCGTCTGGTAGGCTTGTGCCACTGGGCAGCTCGCGGCTGTGCTTCCCTTTGTAGTCTGTAATAGTTTTCAAGCCCTGCCACATCCGACAAGCATCAGAGCCGGTGTAGTACGATTCAATCTTAGTCCTGTATTGACTCTTTGCCTGTTTGATTGTTCGTCGGAGGGCATAGCGGGATTTCTTATAAGCGTCCGGGTTAGAGTCCCACTCCTTGAAAGCGGCAGCTCTACCCTTTAGCTCAGAGCGGATGTTGCCTGTAATCCATGGCTTCTGGTTAGGGTATGTACGTACGGTCACTGTGGGGACGACGTCATCGATGCACTTATTGATGAAGCCAGTGACTGATGTGGTGTACTCCTCAATGCTATCGGAAGAATCCCGGAACATATTCCAGTCTGTGCTAGCAAAACAGTCCTGCAGCTTAGCATCTGCGTCATCTGACCACTTTTTTATTAACCGAGTCACTAGTGCTTCCTGCTTTAGTTTTTGCTTATAAGCAGGAATCAGGAGGATAGAGTTATGGTCAGATTTGCCAAATGTAGGGCGAGGGAGAGCTTTGTATGCGTCTCTGTGTGTGGAGTAAAGGTGGTCTAGAGTTTTTTTTCCTCTGGTTGCACATTACGTAGAATGGATTTAAGTTTCCCTGCATTAAAGTCCCCGGCCGCTAGGAGCGCTGCCTCTGGATGAGTGTTTTCCTGTTTACTTATGGCCTTATACAGCTCATTGAGTGCAATCTTAGTGCCAGCATCGGTTTGTGGTGGTAGATAGACAGCTACGTAAAATATAGATGAAAACTCTCTTGGTAAATAGTGCGGTCTACAGCTTATCATGAGATACTCTACCTCCGGCGAGCAAAACCTTGAGACTTCCGTAGTATTAGATTTTATGCACCAGCTGTTGTTTACAAATATACACAGACCGCCACCCCTTGTCTTACCGGAGTCAGCCATTCTATCCTGCCGATGTAGCGTATATCCCGACAGCTGTATGTTATCCATGTCGTTGTTCAGCCACGACTCGGTGAAACATAAGATATTACAGTTTTTAATGTCCCGTTGGTAGGATAACCTTAATCTTAGGTCGTCCAATTTTTTTTCAAATGATTGAACATTGGCTAATAGGATTGATGGAAGAGGCAGTTTACTCGCTCACCGTCGGATCCTTACAAGGCACCCTGACCTACGTCCACGATATCTCTTTCTCATGCGAATGACGGGGATTTGGGCCTAGTCAGGTGTCTGTAGGATATCCTTTGCGTCCGACTCATTGAAGAAAAAATCTTTGTCCAATACGAGGTGAGTAATCGCTGTCCTGATATCCAGAAGCTCTTTTTGGTCATAAGAGACAGTGGCAGAAACATTATGTACAGAATAAATTACAAATAATGCGAAAAAACACACATAATAGTACAATTGGTTAGAGGGCTGTATATTTCCCACCGTAAAGCATGGAGGAGGAGGTGTTATGGGGTGGGGTAGCTTTGCTGGTGACACTGTCTGTGATTTATTTAGAATTCAAGGCACACTTAACCAGCATGGCTACCACAGCATTCTGCAGCGATACACCATCCCATCTGGTTTGGGCTTAGTGGGACTATAATTTGTTTTTCAACAGGACAATGACCCAACACACCTCCAGGCTGTGTAAGGGCTATTTTACCAAGAAGGAGAGTGATGGAGTGCTGCATCAGATGAGCTGGCCTCCACAATCCCCCGATCTCAACCCAATTGAGATGGTTTGGGATGAGTCGGACAGCAGAGTGAAGGAAAAGCAGCCAACAAGTGCTCAGCATATGTGGAAAAGCATTCTGTTGGAAAAGCATTCCAGGTGAAGCTGGTTGAGAGAATGCCAAGAGTGTGCAAAGCTGTCATCAATGCAAAGGGTGGCTATTTTAAGAATCACAAATATAAAATATATTTTCAAATCAAATCAAATTGTATTGGCCACATGCGCCAAATACAACAGGTGCAGACATTACAGTGAAATGCTTACTTACAGCCCTTAACCAACAGTGCATTTATTTTTAATAAAAAAAGTAGAATAAAACAAAAAAGTGTTGAGAAAAAAAGAGCAGAAGTAAAATAAAATAACAGTAGGGAGGCTATATATACAGGGGGGTACCGGTGCAGAGTCAATGTCACCGGCTAGTTGAGGTATTTTGATTTGTTGAACACTTTTTTGGTTACTACATACAGTTGAAGTCAGAAGTTTATATGCACTTAGGTTGGAGTCATTAAAACTCGTTTTTCAACCACATTTCTTGTTAACAAACTATAGTTTTGGCAAGTCGGTTAAGACATCTACTTTGTGCATGACACAAGTAATTTTTCCAACAATTGTTTACAGACAGATTATTTCACTTATAATTCACTGTATCACAATTACAGTGGGTCAGAAGTTTACATACACTAAGTTGACTGTGCCTTTAAACAGCTTGGAAAATTCCAGAAAATGATGTCATTGCTTTAGAAGCTTCTGATAGGCTAATTGACATCATTTGAGTCAATTGGAGGTGTACCTGTGGATGTATTTCAAGACCTACCTTCAAACTCAGTGCCTCTTTGCTTGACATCATGGGAAAATCCAAAGAAATCAGCCAAGACCTCAGAATTTTTTTTTTTAGACCTCCACAAGTCTGTTTCATCCTTGGGAGCAATTTCCAAATGCCTGAAGGTACCACGTTCATCTGTACAAACAATAGTACGCAAGTATAAACACCATGGGACCACGCAGCCATCATACCACTCAGGAAGGAGACGCGTTATGTCTCCTAGAGATGAACGTACTTTGGTGTGAAAAGTGCAAATCAATTCCAGAACAACAGCAAAGGACCTTGTGAAGATGCTGGAGGAAACCGGTACAAAAGTATCTATATCCACAGTAAAACGAGTCCTATATCGACATAACTTGAAAGGCAGCTTAACAAGGAAGAAGCCACTGCTCCAAAACTGCAATAAATAAGCCAGACTACGGTTTGCAACTGCACATGGGGACAAAGATTGTACTTTTTTGAGAAATGTCCTCTGGTCTGATGAAAACAAAAATAGAACTGTTTGGCCATAATGTCCATCTTTATGTTTGGAGGAAAAAGAGGGTAACTTGCAAGCCGAAGAACACCATCCCAACCGTGAAGCATAGGGGTGGCAGCATCATGCTGTGGGGGTGCTTTGCTGCAGGAGGGACTGGTGTACTTCACAAAATAGATGGCATAATGAGGAAGGAAAATGATGTGGATATATTGAAGCAACATCTCAAGACATCAGTCAGGAAGTTAAAGCTTGGTTGCAAATGGGTCTTCCAAATGGACAATGACCCCAAGCATACTTCCAAAGTTGTGGCAAATGGCTTAAGGACAACAAAGTCAAGGTATTGGAGTGGCCATCACAAAGCCCTGACCTCAATCCTATAGAACATTTGTGGGCAGAACTGAAAAAGCGTGTGCGAGCAAGGAGGCCTACAAACCTGACTCAGTTACACCAGCTCTGTCAGGAGGAAAAAATTCACCCGACTTATTGTGGGAAGCTTGTGGAAGGCTACCCGAAACGTTTGACCCAAGTTAAACAATTTAACGGCAATGCTACCAAATACTAATTGAGTGTATGTAAACTTCTGATGTGATGAGGTGGTGATGAAGGAGTCAGGCACAGGAGGGTAAATCACAGAATAACAGGCTTTAATCCGCAAAATACAGGTTTACACAGAAATGCGTCAAACACACTCCAGGGCACAAACCAGGCGCACTGGAAAATACAGGGCACACGGGAAAAATACTTCCGTCGATACACATTACACGAGCTCCACCGAGCTTCACTAACCTCCACAAACACAAACAATCACCCACACAGACAAGGAAGCAGAGGGAACACTTATACCATGACTAATGAGGGAATAAGGACCATGTGTTTGTGATTGAAGACAAGACAAGTGGAGTGATGATAAATGGATCGGCAGTAGCTAGTAAGCCGGTGACGCCGAACGCCGAAACCTGCCCGAACAAGGAGGGGAGGCAGCCTCGGCGGAAGTCGTGACATCTGACCCCCTGGCAATGTGATGAAAGAAATAAAAGCTGAAATAAATCATTCTCTCTACTATTATTCTGACATTTCACATTCTTAAAATAAAGTGGTGATCCTAACTGACCTAAGACAGGGAATTTTTACTAGGATTAAATGTCAGGAATTGTGAAAAACTGAGTTTAAATGTATTTGGCTAAGGTGTATGTAAACATCTGACTTCAAATGTATGTGTTATTTCATAGTTTTGATGTCTTCACTATTATTCTACAATGTAGAAAATAGTAAAAATAAAGAAAAACCCTTGAATGAGTAGGTGTTCTAAAACTGTAGCTGTAATGAACGTAAAGGTGTTGTTGTTGTGAATGTAGCTCTAATCTAATGATATTACATGCCTGCTGGCTGGATTCCCTTGGGGTGAGCTTTTGTGAATGCACCCCTAATCTTAATAGTGAAGTAGTGGGGATGAGATGAGCAGGGATAAGGTTGGTATGTTGTGTTGTGTTGTCAACAGACCAAACTGGGACTTTGTTATTAGAGCAGGCTATGACTATATTGTCATGTCACCATGTCTGGCCTGATACTGAGTCATGGTTTGGATACGGTATGTTGACGGCACCCGAATGTGGCAGCCAGTGTGTGTTTGTGCGTGTTTGCATGCGTGAGTGTGTGTGTGTCTGTGTGCGAGTGTCTGTGTGTGTGCCTTGCATAGTCTGCAGTCATATAATGATCAGCCCTCCCAAGCTGAGGACTGAGGACGTGGACCGGATGAATTCCATCATCTGAACGCACTCACAACAATCGTGGCTCTCCACTGCTATCACTGCCAATCCTCAGCCGTGAAGTCATCTCCCGCAAATACTCCCTCTCTTACTTATACTGAAATGCTCCTTCTCTCTCACCACATTCTGCCTTTCCAGCAGGCTAGGGCTCCTGGTCGACTCACGCTTCCAGGACTCCCTGACTGACTGGCCCACCACTGACCCCCCTAGGCCCCAGCCCTATACCACAGACCTATACCTCAGGCCCAATACCCCAGCACTTTACCAAGCCTCAGGTCCAGCCCCAGTCTCAGGTCCAGCCCCAGTCTCAGGTCTAGCCCCAGCCTCAGGTCTAGCCCCAGCCTTAGGTCCAGCCTCATGTCTAGCCCCAGCCTCAGGTCCAGCCTCATGTCTAGCCCCAGCCTCAGGTCTACCCCAGCCTCATGTCTAGCCCCAGCCTAAGGTCCAGCCTCAGGTCCAGCCCCAGCCTCAGGTCTAGCCCCAGCCTCAGGTCTAGCCCCAGCCTTAGGTCCAGCCTCATGTCTAGCCCCAGCCTAAGGTCCAGCCCCAGCCTCAGGTCTAGCCCCAGCCTCATGTCTAGCCCCAGCCTAAGGTCTAGCCCCAGCCTCAGGTCTAGCCCCAGCCTCAGGTCTAGCCCCAGCCTTAGGTCCAGCCTCATGTCTAGCCCCAGCCTAAGGTCCAGCCTCATGTCTAGCCCCAGCCTCAGGTCCAGCCTCATGTCTAGCCCCAGCCTCAGGTCTACCCCAGCCTCATGTCTAGCCCCAGCCTCAGGTCCAGCCCCAGCCTCAGGTCCAGCCCCAGCCTCAGGACCAGCCCCAGCCTCAGGTCTACCCCAGCCTCAGGTCTACCCCAGCCTCAGGTCCAGCCTCAGGTCCAGCCTCATGTCTAGCCCCAGCCTCAGGACCAGCCCCAGTCTCAGGTCTAGCCCCAGCCTCAGGTCCAGCCCCAGCCTCAGGTCCAGCCCCAGCCTCAGGTCTACCCCAGTTTCAGGTCCAGCCCCAGCCTCATGTCTAGCCCCAGCCTCAGGTCCAGCCCCAGCCTCAGGTCCAGCCCCAGCCTCAGGTCTACCCCAGTTTCAGGTCCAGCCCCAGCCTCAGGTCCAGCCCCAGCCTCAGGTCCAGCCCCAGCCTCAGGTCTACCCCAGTTTCAGGTCCAGCCCCAGCCTCATGTCTAGCCCCAGGCCTAAACAGATCATGAGGAGCAGCAGAACCCTGAACACACACACACCACCACTTGTGCCCCCGCATTCAGCTTCCTGATTAGACGCCGGCCTAAGGGGACAGGAATAAACACGGAACATTAGCCAATAAGTCTGTTGTCTGGGAAGAAATGTGTGTCAAGGACCAATCAAAAATAATGACATCAACAGGAAACTATTACAGTCTAATAACCATTCCCCTGATCCCTGGTCCATTAGGATTTGGAAGCCTTTTGGATAGGAACTGTTTTATTTGTGTGTTTTTGAAAACAGCCAATTTAACAACTTCCCTCTCTCCCTTATCAGTGTCCGATATGGATTTGAGAGAAGAGAAAATTACTATTTTAAAACTGACTGAGTGAAGGCTGATCAGTATGGTGTGATAGTGTGATAGTCTCTCTCTCTGTCTGTCTCTCCCTCCAGACAGACAGCTAATCCTCCTGTGTGTGAAGGAGAGCGTTCGCGGTCACGCACATGGACAGTGTTTTCATTTAGGACCACACATACTCACACACACATGCTCTCTCTCTCTCTCTCACACACACACACACACAGCAGTCAAACCCAGGGTAGAGTGGAATGTGTGAACAGGCCGAGCCACAAAGCTCATTGTTCACATTATAAAGCACAGAGACACATGGAGCACTGTGAGGGGTTGAGAGATTTATCATCATGGATCAACACCACAAACACTCACAACCACACATCTAACCCTAACCCTCCTCACACACACACACACACACACACACACACACACACACACACACACACACACACACACCCTTCTAACCCTAACTCTCCTCAAGCACACACACACCAGCTCAACCTTTCTCCCTCTGCATGATTTAAAAAGGAGAGCAGAGCAGAAGGGGTGAGAGGAGGGGGAAGAGGAGTGAGAAGAGGAGGGGGAAGAGGAGGGGGGGAAGAGGAGTGAGAAGACAAGGAGGGAGAAGACAAGGAGGGATAAGAGGAGGGGGAAGAGGAGGGAGAAGAGGGAGAAGAGGAGGGGGAAGAGGAGGGAGAAGAGGAGGGGGAAGACGAGGGGGAAGACGAGGGGGAAGACGAGGGGGAAGACGAGGGTGAAGACGAGGGTGAAGAGGAGGGTGAAGAGGAGGGGGAAGAGGAGGGAGAAGACGAGGGGGAAGAGGAGGGAGAAGAGGAGGGAGAAGACGAGGGGGAAGACGAGGGGGAAGACGAGGGGGAAGACGAGGGAGAAGAGGAGGGGGAAGAGGAGGGGGAAGAGCAGGGAGAAGACGAGGGATAAGACGAGGGGGAAGAGGAGGGAGAAGAGGAGGGGGAAGAGGAGGGAGAAGAGGAGAAGAGATGACAGGATGGACAAAAAAGTAGAGTGGAAAGGAGAGGATGACAGGAGGAGGATCTGACCCAGGCTAAATCAACAGTCCTTATCCTGGGGGAGATCTCATGCTCCACTTGTGAAAATACCTTTTTAATGTTGTTTGGTTTACTTTCATTCTCCTTCCTCCTTCTCCTCTAAGGCATCTACAGATGTTCAGGTCGTAAACATTTTGGAGACACACACACCTGCTCTGCATTCAGGTCATAACATCCTCATTGCTTCTCGTCCCCCCAGCCTCAGCCCGACTCGGCAGATTACATACATTACATGACATCTGCTGTGAAAGAATGTCAGTCAGTCTGTCTGCCCCTGTCTGTGTTCTCCATTAAGGCCCAGCCGCCCAAATAGAGGTTTGGAGGTTAGGACTTGAGCAGGCAGCAACAGCAGGGTCTGGTTCTTTTTTGCCCGGCACCAATATGCTCCCTACCCCTCCTCCTTGGACCTTACCCTTCAATGTTTGCCTGGAAAGGTATAGCAGTGTAGTAGTGAAGCTCCCACCATATTCCTTACACCTTACAGATCTACAAACACCAGAGGGTTTTGGCCAATGTCCAAGGAGTTTAGGAGGGAATTTGAACCGTGGTGCTGTGTGTCCCTCACAGCTTACCATTCATCTGTCTGTCTGTCTTCCTTTGTGTCTATAGATCATGCAGCAGATGAGTGACCATCGTTATGACAAGCTGACGGTGCCTGATGACATTGCAGCCAACACCATCTATATGAACCTCCCTGGCAAAGGCCATGTACTGTTACATTGCACCCCAGAGGAGTTCCCAGAGAGTGCCAAGGTGAGCACACACACACACACACATTATACACGCATATTCACATGCAGACATACACTAACACACACACCCTGTGACTCTTAGATGTCAGCTCGTATGGGAGCAGTGAATGACATGTTATTGTCTCTGAAGCGGTTAGGCATGGCATGTCATTTAGATTCCTCAGTGTCACTACACATCACAGTATCTTACTATGGGCCCCTGGGTACCACATCACCAACACCCTGCAATCTGCACAGACAGCCCCAAGACCTCAAATGTACTCTGTGGTTAAAACCCAAACTTGAACATTTATTTTTAGTACAAAGCATTTATTGAAATATGTCTCTTTGGATTTGGAACTGTTGTCCAATTTCCAAAGGGTTACTATTATATTTTCCTTGAGGATTGGCTGAAAGGGAATTCAACCCAAACATTATAAAATCAGAGTGACTGCCTCTCTTTCCTGTATCAGACCACTGTGGTGACGTGTGTATTCATATGGGACCTGGATGGAAGCTTGGGACACTTTCTGCCTCTGAGCACCAGCTGTGTGATGAAGAATCATTCATGTAGAGGTGTTGGAATCCCAATCATCAGGGATGTCAGACCATAGGGATACATCTCTATGTGTCAGACACAGTTCCATGTAAACACACACACACACATACAAATACACACACTCACTCTCTCTCTCTCTTTCTCTCTATATTTCAAAAGCAGCATGATTGAACCTTACATCTATATAACAGTAATCACGACAGAAAGACAGACAGACAGAGAGACAGTGGTTGGTTCTTGGTTGTGTGAAGTTTTTCCTCTGAGAGCTGCAACCATGCAGTCCCCTGATCCCATTTTCAGATGGGGAGAGAGAGAGAGAGAGAGAGAGAGAGAGAGAGAGAGAGGAAGAGGAGAGAGAGATTTATCAACACACTCACTCTGCCTGCAAAGCCGCTCTACTGCTCTGTTTTCTAACACTATAAACACTAAACATTCTTGTCCCAAAAACTCTGGCTCCAGCTATTTTTAGCAACGTTACATAACAAAGGCAGAAGGTCATGGGAGAGGGTGGGGGGTCGACGGGGGGGCAAAGGAGGGCGACTTTAGGGTCTGGAGTGGTGACTGCCACAGAAGCTGAGCAGAGAGATAAAGTAGTCAACTAGAAAAAAGTTTCAGTGAAATATAGCCAGCCCCCACAGTGAAGTTCTCCTGGCCTGACATAATACATTTCAACCACAGTAATAAGAACCCAGCTGGAAAGCACAGATTCACTGCCATAAAAACAGAAACACTTGAGAGAGAACAAATGTAGAAAAGGGAACCGATTTAGTGATGTTGTGGAGGAGTTTGGCTAAAGTGCTTTGCCCCTCTGACCTCATGACCCCCCTCCCATGGTTGATGGGCTTTATCCCTGTTCTACGTAGACCTGTTGCATCATGGCTGGAGAATCTGATAGCCAGAGTTGGGTGGGTTGCTTGTGGCCCCTATGGTAGAGCAAGCCCAGGCTTTTAGTATGGCAGAGAGAAGGGGGGAAATATTTTGAAACTTTTGTTTCCTAATGTTAACTGTTAATGTCTGATTGTTATTTTGTTTTGTTTTCATTTGCTTTGGCAATGTTAACATATGTTTCCCATGCCAGAAAATCCCCTTTGAATTAGAGAGAGAGAGAAGAGAAGAGGAGAGAGAGAGAGAGAGAGAGAGAGAGAAGAGAGAGAGAGAGAGAGAGAGAGAGAGAGAGAGAGAGATCTAGAGAGAGATAGAGCTAGCGAGAGATAGATAGCGATCGTCTCTATCTCTCTCTCTCCTAGATCGCATCCGCTCTCTCGCTCGCTCTCTCTCTCGATCCTTTCTCTCTCTCGCTCTCCTCTCGCTCTGCTCCTCTCTCTCTCTCTCTCTCTCTCTCTCTCTCTCTCTCTCGCTCTCTCTCTCATCTCTCTCTCTCTCTCTCTACTCTCTCTCTCTTGCTTTCTCACTGGCTTGGAAGGCTCTTAGGAAAACAGTGGTTTTCTTCTGGAGGGGCTCCACAGGGTGACACATTGCTTTATGAGGGTTTTTGGAGATTACGTAATATTTCTCACTCTGTTTTTGAGAACTCTTCTCTACCTAAATGTTCATTCTTAATGCCTTAGATTTCTATCCCTCGTAAGTGCTCCCAAATCATTGTAAAATAAACAAAGCCTGTAAACTAAAGTTACGTAAGGTGAAGTCTCCTACCTTCTCTAGTGGGTAGTGTTGTTCAAACTATTGTCTGAGGAGGGACCATCATTTGTTATTGTCCTGGAGAGGCTGAGCTGAGGTGTATATCAATATTCTCTCTCTCTCTCTCTCTCACAGGTGTTTGAGAAGCTGAAGGATCACATGTTGATCCCAGTGTCCAACATGGAGAAGGTGAAGGTGGACGGAGCCCTCACCTGCTGCTCCGTTCTCATCAACATGAAAGCCAAAGTCTGATCTGAGCATGCTCCGTTAGGGGTCTCTCAGACAGACCTGGCTTCAAATACTACTTGAAATCTTTGACATACTTTGATGTGCCAGGTTTGCCGTTTTTGGACTATACTATTGGGCAATTATTAAGCCAGGCAAGCTCAATCAAGCACAGACACAAAGTATTTGACATGATTTCGAATAGTATTTTAACCCAGGTCTGCTCTCAGGGCAGGGTCGGCCCACTGCTGCCACATTGCCCTGTTGAGAAGCTCAACTACCTAGCCTGGGTGCAAGTCTGTTTCTGGCCAGTCTGTTTCTGCTGTCTTGCCCCTGAAAACAAACTGGTATCCAGGTTACCAACCCCCCTCCCCTTCTGAAAGTGCTCATGTGTCAATCAATCCCTCTGCTTACTGGTCAATGTTTACAACCCTTTAAAACAACCCCTTATAATACCACTGGAGAGGCAAAAAGGACAGTCTGTTTGATAGAATAGTTTTAAGGAGGAGCTATATAATGTTGCGGTATAGTTAGGACAGGATATGCATGGTGCAGTAGCCAGTTTATAAAGAATATAAAACGCTAATATATTTACAATCAACTGCTGATTACTCTCTATACATATTTGTAATGATTTATTTTTAGATTCAATTCATCATGATTCATGCCACATAACAAGTAGAAGTTCTTATTGAGGGGGAGAAAGGAATTAAATCAAATCCACCTAGTTATGGGCAATTCCATGGTAACGGAATGACGCTGAGACTCAGATTTTTCACTTTAAAATGTATATCAAACAAAAACCATTGATTTAAAAGTTTAACAAACCACATAACTCTATACACAAGGACTACTTAAAAAAATTTCCACAGACTATTTTACAAAAACACATTTACAGGTAAAACTGTGCAGATACAAAGTTTAGTAACAGAATAAAACTGAGGGAGATTTTACCGTAATTCTGTCCAAACGTTGCATTTTTTTTTTTTTACTAAATTGTTCAAAGTAGTCATTGTGCATAGAGTTCTATGGTTTGTTAAACTTTGAAATCAATGGTTTTTGTTTGGCATACATTTTAAAGTGAAAAATCGGAGTCTCAGCGTAATTCCGTAACCGTGGAATTGCCCTTATCTTAATAATCTAGAAATGGTCATAGTGAGCTTGTCCTCTCTGTTTGCCATGGAGACCTGAGTTCTCTTACTTTACATAATTGTTGATAAAAAATGAATTATTATTGATTATTGGACATGAATGTTGATGATCCCTAGCAGTGAGGGTGGTGCTAGTTATTCCATCCGGCTGATCAAGGGGTTAATTCCTCTTATTATTAAACTGTGATTCTGAAGTCTAAACCCAGGGTAGGAAATTAACTACAAAATTCCCCTGAAAATAAAATGTCAAAGGATGCTAAATAAAAGTTAATTTCCTACCCTGTCTTAAACTAAGCTGTGCCCACTTTATAAAGGACTGAGCACACTTCCATGCCCTGTGCTGTGTGACGTATGTTTAAGTATGACCAATGCTTGTCGTTACTCATGATATACTCTCATAACTTTTAACATGTCTCAGTGTGCTGTGTGCCTCCATCGAAAACCAAGTGGCTTAAATAACTACTGCTGTATACTCTAGTCAAGAAGCCATTATAGCAGCTTTCAATGGGTTTTTTAAGCCCATTATTGTCTCTGTGTTGACTACTGTACTGATACTGGCCCTGGTACT